ATCATCAGATGGTCAATAGCGAAATCAGATTGATCATATTCTTTGCAGTCAAAGATGGAGAAGCTCTATATGGTCAGCAAAAACAAGGGCAGAAGCTGACTGTGGCTCAGATCATGAGCTCCTTATTGCAAAATTCAGACTTAAACTGAAGAAAGCAGGGAAAACCACTAGGCCATTCAGGTATGACCTAAATCAAATCCCCTACAATTATACAGTGGAAGTGAGAAATAGATTCAAGGGATTATTTCTGATAGACAGAATGCCTGAAGAACTATGGATGGAGGTTCGTGACATTGTACAGGAGGCTGTGGTCAAGACCATCCCCAAGAAAAAGAAATGCAAAAAGGCAAAATGGTTGTCTTGAGGAGGCCTTACAAATAGCTGAGAAAAGAAGAGAGGCAAAAAGCAAAGGAGAAGAGGAAAGATATACCCATTTGAATGCAGAGTTCCACAGGATAGCAAGGAGAGATAAGAAAGCATCCTCAGTGATCAATGCAGAAAATAGAGGAAAACAATAGAATGGGAAAGACTAGAGATCTCTTCAAGAAAATCAGAGATTCCAAGGGAGCATTTCATGCAAAGATGGGCATAATAAAGGACAAAAACGGTATGGGCCTAAGAGAAACAGAAGATATTAAGAAAAGGTGGCAAGAATAAACAGAAGAACTATACAAAAGAGATCTTAATGACCCAGATAAACTTGATGGTGTGATCACTTACCTAGAGCCGGACATCCTGGAATGCGAAGTCAAGTGGGCCTTAGGAAACATCTCTATGAACAAAGCTAGTGGAGGTGATGGAATTCCAGTTGAGCTATTTCAAATCCTAAAAGATAATGCTGTGAAAGTGCTGCACTCAATATGCCAGCAAATTCGGGAAACTCAGCAGTGTCCACAGGGCTGGAAGAAGTCAGTTTTTATTCCAGTCCCAAAGAAAGGCAGTGTTCAAACTACCATATAGTTGTGCTCATTTCACATCTAGCAGGTAATGCTCAAAATCCTTTAAGCTAAGCTTCAACAGTATGTGAGCTGAGAACTTCCAGATGTTCAAGCTGGGTTTAGAAAAGGCAAAGGAACCAGAGATCAAATTGCCAACATCTCTTGGATCATAGAAGAGACAAGAGAATTCCAGAAAAACATCTACTTCTGCTTCATTAACTATGCTGAAGCCTTTGACTGCGTGGATCACAGCAAACTGGGGAAAATTCTCAAAGAGATGGGAATACCAGACCATGTTACCTGCCTCTTGAGAAACCTGTATGCAGGTCAAGAAACAACAGTTAGAACCAGTCATGGAACAATGGACTGATTCAGAATTGGGGAAAGGAGTACGTCAAGGCTGTATATTGTCACCCTGCCTATTTAACTTATATTCAGAGTCAGTACATCATGTGAAATGCTGGGCTGGATGAAGCACAAGCTGGAATCAAGTTTTCCAGGAGAAATATCAATAACCTCAGTTATGTAGATGATGCCACCCTTATGGCAGAAGCGAAGAAGGAACTTCTTCATAACCGCTTTATGAAGGTGAAAGAGGAGGGTGAAAAAGCTGTCTTAAAACTCAACATTCAGACAACCTTAAGATGATGGCATCCAGTTCCATCACTTCATGACAAATAGATGGGAAAACAGTGGAAACAGTGAGAGAGTTTATTTTCTTGGGCTCCAAAATCACTGCAGATGGTGACTGCTGCCATGAAATTAAAAGACGCTTTCTTCTTGGAAGAAAAGCTGTGATGAACCTAGACAGCATATTAAAAAGCAGAGAGTTTACTTTGCCGACCAAGATCCGTATAGTGAAAGCTATGGTTTTTCCAGTAATCATGGATGTGAGAGTTGGGCCATAAAGAAGGCTGAGTGCTGAAGAATTGATGTTTTTAAACTGCGTTGTTGGAGAAGAGGCCCTTGGACTGCAAGGAGATCAAAGCAGTCAATGCTAAAGGAAATCAACCGAATATTCATTGGAAGGACTGATACTGAAGTCAAGCTCCAGTACTCTAACCACCTGATATGAAGAGCCAACTCATTGGAAAAGACCCTGATGCTGGGAAAGATTGAAGCAGGAGGAGAAGGCGATGACAGAGGACAGGATGGTTGGAAGGCATCACCGACTTAATGGACATGAGTTTGAGCAAGCTCTGAGAGATGGTGAAGGACAGGGAAGCCTGGCATGCTGCAGTGCATGGGGTTGCAAACAGTCAGACACAACTGAGTGACTGAGCAACAATTATTAATAGATATGTTGGGGGAATCACAGAGGCTTCATAAAATAGCCTGTTAAATGAATTTGAAATATATATTTTTAACTATGAAGACTTCTCATCCTGAATCACTACCACTACTGTTATCTTGTCGTCGTCGTCATCATATGAGTTTCTAATTTTGTATCCATGCTAGCATTTTCTCCTGCTTTTTGCATGTGCTCATCTCCCTTTTTGATATCCCTTCTTCCTCCAGTTTTTTTTTTTTTTGGCCTGAACATTTCCTGCTTATCCTTCATTCACAGTATGAGTATCACTCGGCCTTGACTCATCCACCTTCTGGCAGACCTGTGAGCGCTTCAGTTCCAACACTGAGCACACTGCCTGCTGTCCTCCTGCCATTCCCATCACAGTCCTGCAACATGCTGCTCTAGCTTTGCTGTTGTTCCTGGAAAATGCTAGACATTTCCCACCCATTTCCTCACACACCCGTTCTCTTCCTTTTTGTCTGCTCGAGTAGAACCTCATCAATGATCCCAGTTCTGACAGCTCCACTGCAGATAGCTTTCTCCCCCTATATTCTCTCTTTATTTTTCTACAAAGCTCTTATCACAGTCTGGCATTCTATAAACTCGACTTATGATTAAAATGGATTGATTATCTCAGTCTCTCTTGTGGAATATAAATCTCATGAGAGGTAGGAATTTTGTTTCCTGCTGTATCTTTAGTTACCTAGAACAGGGCTTGGCATGTAATGAGGTTGTGTATGATTACTGAATGACTGAATAATGGTTATTTCTTTCTCTCCCTAGTATACAGTAAGCTCCTTGAAATTAGGAAACATGTTTTAGTTCTTATGTTTCTGGCACATAATAAACACTCAGCTGGAGATGGAAAATTGTCTCGCTAGTGGTTACATGCCTTCAGATGAGATTAATATGAACCTTTTCTATATTGGGAATTGGGCTGTGTTCAAGGGGGTATTGTGTTAAAGGGGAGGAAAAATATCTTTTCTTTTACCCTTTTAGGTTTTTGGCTGGGGCTTCTGTAACAAAAGGCAGATTAACAAGTGAAAAGCCTACAAATTTATTTAGTATTTGTTTACATGATGTAGCTCAATGGTAAAGCATCCTCCTGCCAAATGCAGGAGATTCAGGTTTGATCCTTGGGTTGGGAGGATCCCCTGGAGAAGGAAATGGCAACCTACTCCAGTATTCTTGCCTGGGAAATCCCACGGACAGAGGACCCTGGTGGGATACTGTCCCTGAAGTCACAGAAGAGTCAGACATGACTTAGTGACTAAACATCAACAACTGTGTGACATGGAAATGACTTCATAAGGAAATGAAGACCCAAAGAAGTGTTAAATGTGAGCATTTTTGTGCTAGGGCTTCCCTGGTCACTCAGACAGTGAAGAATCTGCCTTCAATGAAAGAGACCTGGGTTTGTTCCTTGGGTTGGGAAGATCCCCCCCCAAGAAGGAAATGGCAGTCCAGTCCGGTATTCTTGCCTGGAGAATTGCATGGACAGAGGAGCCTGGCAGGCTCTATGGTTCATGGGTTTGCAAAGAGTAGGACATGACTGAGCGACTAACATACACACTTGGTAAAGTGTGAAAAATGGTAGAAAAATATGATAGAACAAGGGGGAGGTGAGTTAAGAGTATTGGCACCACAGAGAGATTGCTGCTTTACTTCCAGAGCTCAGCAGTAAAGCAAATAGCACAATAAAGTGAGTCACATGAATTTTTTCTTTCCCAGTGCATGTAAAAGTTAACTTCACACTATACTGTAGTCTGCTACGTGTGCTCTAGCTTTATGTCTAAAAAAATACTGTAGTCTGCTAAGTGTGCTCTAGCTTTATGTCTAAAAAAACTATGTGCATACCTTAATTGAAAAACATTTTATTGCTAACAAATGTTGTCATCTGAACCTTCAGCAAATTGGAGTAGTGACATCAAAGATTACTGATTGCCTGTCACCATAGCAAATGTAGTAACAGTGAAAATGTTTGGAATATTGCAAGAATCATCAAAGTGTGATAGACATGAAGTGAGCAAATGCTGTTGGAAAAATGGCACCAATAGACTTGCTACATGCAGGGTTGCCACAGACTTTCAATTTGTAAAAAACGCCTTACATGTGAAGTGCAATAAAGTGAAGCACAGTAAAACAATATCTGTAGCAACCTGGAGAGACTTAGCAAGGTTTATCTGTTCAGATTCTTAGTGTTCCTTCGTCTTCTAGAAATAAGGATGCTGCATTCCTCCAGGGGTAGGAAGGATACATCTCATGAGGGTCTTAACGACTAGCTTCAGGTGGTCAGAGATTCCTTCCTACTTGTACCATTTCTTAAATTAAATCACTAGTATTAAAATACTCAGTGTGCCAAGATACCATATTTTAGTGGAGCGTATTCTAAACACCTTCAGTGTTGTGGTGAAATTATAGTGAAACAAAAAACAATGAACACCTTAGAGAGCTTTATTCTTTTGTAGATGTAGCTGTTAGAAATAGTGCTTTGCTTTTGGAGATGTAGTATTACCTTTTCTTCTACACATACACATACACCCTCTCTCACACTGTAAAGGTATTTTTATTAAGACTTTAAGGGAATTAATATATCAGGGATTGATTTCTTTCTTTACATAATAAGAAAGGAAAAAAAAAAAGAAAACTCATTGTATTAGATTCTGCCTCAGATCCTCTGAGAGCATCATCTGCTTCTTGCCATCCTTCCTAGGCACAAAAGGTTAACTTACAAGACTCTTTGACACTGTAACTATGGACTTTCTCCTTAGGAATCAGAGAAGATCATTGCTGAGTTGAATGAAACCTGGGAAGAGAAGCTGCGTAAAACAGAGGCCATCAGGATGGAGAGGTCAGGAAGTTAAACTCTGGAATGTTTCTAAAATATCTGGGGAATTTGGATTACGTTTATAGTAAGAAAAGATAAAGTAGAAGTTAAAAACAACCTTTCCTCCCCAAATGCAGAACCAACAAACAAAACCTGTGTGAGACTTCTGGCCACATTCACACTCTGAAGTGAAATTAAGATATTTGAATGTTCTCTAGGCAGTGTTGTTCTTAGTTACCTACTACGTGTTGCTAGGGATCCATATAAAATTTGAAGATATTGAGGAATGAATTCTTAATTTGCAAAAAGATTGCCTTTGATAAAGGCCCAGAGAAAAAAAGCTGTTCTGATTATTGTCTTTCAGAGTGACGTTTCCCAAAACCTCTTTGGTAAGAGGTTAAGTAGTTTCAGTTGCCAATTTTTAAAATCTATATTCTATCTTAACCTCATGATTCTCTACCCTAATAATGAACATGACCTCAAATAATACTTTTGCTGTTGGAGTAAATAGATATTTTAAGGACTTCCCTGGTAGTCCAGAGGTTAAGACTCTGTGCTTCCAATGCAGAAAGCATGGATTGAGTCCCTGGTCGAGGAAATAGTATCCCACATGCAGTGTGGTATGGCCAAAAAATAATAAGAATAAAATAGTTGTTAAAAGTATATACATTTTAGTTAATGTTAGTTTCTTCTTGCTTCCTGGAAGATGAGGTAGAAGTGAGTGCTAATGTGTTGATAAAGTGAATGTATGAAACAGAATTTTCTTCTTTATTGTAGAGATTTTAAGCTAAAATTGTTAAATCAATGTGATGGTAGGCATGGGAACATGACATTTGAGAAAACCACAGTTATAGATAATACTCCCCTTATCAGAGCTACTTTCTGACTGCTTTTGTGCATTTTTAAGAGATGGTTCCTTGAATGGGATGTATTGCCTTCAGGGCATGTTCCATTCTTCCTTTTTTAAATATTAATAGACATATTATTTATGAATCATTTTCTGCTTCCAAAATCAGATGTGACAAAGTTCCTATTTGGGTAAATACAGCTTTACATAAGACAGGAACATAATTTACTTTGAATGTAGTATTTCTCTTAAAGATAATTTCCCTTTGATGAAGGGATGAGTAGATTCTTTCACATTTGTATTACTGACTTTAAACATAGATAATTGTTTTTGCTTTGCTTGCTTTACCTTCCAATTCATGTTAGACTGATTTACTTATCATTTTAGTACTGTGCTTCTGATACGCTGTTGCTCTTTCTAGAGAAGCCTTGTTGGCTGAGATGGGAGTTGCCATTCGGGAAGACGGAGGAACCCTTGGGGTTTTCTCTCCTAAAAAGGTAGGAAGCAGCGTTGTGAGAGTGAACCAAACTGAGACTGTTTGTCTCGGTCCTCCAGGTACTTCATGTCTTTCAGGGCTGCCTCCTCTTCTTCCTTTTCTTTTAAACCTTGAGACATGGCTTAATTTCTGATATTTTTTATTTCATCTTACAGAACAAGGCCAACCTGTTTCTAAACTGCTTTCAGAAATGTTTACTGTTTATAGAAATAAAATCCAAGGCAGTAAATTTGTAACTTTTGGTCATTATTCAGTGTGTTTACTCATCTTAATGGTTGCTTTCTCTTAAATTCCTAGCCTAACCTAGCACATCTTGCCTCAGTTTGGCTACTCTATGTAGATTTCCCCACAGGTGCCAGCAACCCTGAATTATAACTCTTTGGAAGCAATTTCAGCTGTTCAGGTTTGTGTAGAAAAATACCGCTTCAATTTGCTTCTCCACTTGGTGTGATAAAGCAGTTTCTGTGCTCATCCTTCTAGCCTCCTCTGCTCCCTTCTCATTTTTTTTTTTAAATGACTCCAGTAGTTACCCTCCTACTTACTTAACGTAATCATAGTTGTTAACTTAGTAGATACCTTTTAGCTAATTAGAAAAACAAGTTTTTTTTTTTTTTTTTAACTAAGTTGCTTCTTAGTTATTCATAGACACTGGGAAGCTATTATGAAATGGTTATTTTGTGTGCTTATTTATCTATTAATAATAGAACATATACTGATGTACAAAGCATAAAATTATACTGATAACAAATGGTCTTTCGTTTCAAATAACTTCAGATTGGATACTGTATTCTTAAACTTCTTCATGCAAGGGTCTGATGGTGGTCTCTCTAGGTTAGCATAGAACAACGGGGTATAGAATTTTCAGTTGGTACTTTTGTTTTATTTGATATGAGATACTCCCATGGTTTTTGTTAGGATATTTTTGGTTAGGTTTTTCTTTTTTTTAATAAATTCTGCTGTATTATTTTCATCAAAGAAGATTGATTTAAAGACATTTTAGATATGTGCTATACACCTGGAACAATAGTAACAGTATTTTATACTTTTATATTGCCAAAGGTCAGTGATTTTCACAATTTAATGATTTTTCTTTCAGTAAGATACTATTTTATTCAGATATATTATTTGTGGTTTTAGAGTTTTTAGCAGTTATAGGCTTAATATAATTTAGATTGTGCCTTTGCATATATTTTAACATCTTTTAGTGTTAAGAACAGTGAGGAAAATTTTTGTAATGACTTAAATAACTCGAATAAGTACTGTGTTATAAACAACACAGAATTCCAAACTGAGATATCTGTTTCCAGAGCTTTTTCTTACTTGCTTTAACTTTCTAGACTTCTTCAGGAAAGAAAAAAGTTCCACATAACCACATCCAAATATAGTTTTAGAACCTGTTCCTGATGTATTAACTCGATTGGTAATCCTTGCACATATATGTATCAAATTGACACCTTTTACAATCACATTGTACAACCCAAATATATGTAGACTTAGTCATTCATATCTCAAAAGAACTAGGAGAAGGTACTCTTCAGGCAAGAGAAAAAATGAAAACCTGTTCTTGAGGTTCTGGTTTCCTTAGGCCAGTGCCCTGCTTGGTTTTAAAAAATGCTGCCCAAGAGGGTTTTGACTTTCTCAAACCAGCTATAGAGACATGTTAGTTGGAAAAATGTAGAAGTTTTCCTAAATTTCTTTTAAATGATCTTTTGCACTCCCTTTTCTTAACCTGCTTATCTGACTCTGCTTTCATTTTTCCACATTTGCTGGCACTGTATCTTGAGTAGATTTTGACCCCAAGACCATGTGACTTATTTTTGGATCCCAGTGGGGTATTTTCACCAAAAAAGGTTGGTTTTTAAAAGATTTTAGAAACATTAATAAGAGTTAGATGAAGAGGATTTTGTAAGATGTGTTATTGAATGTCAGTGATTTTTGATTCTTGTTTAAGATAAAGAAGATTGGTTTTTAAAAGATTTTAGAAACATGAGTTAGATGAAGAGGATTTTACAAGATGTGTTATTGAGTATCAGTAATTTTAATTTCTTCTTTAAGATAAAGACTGACAAACTAAAGACAATAACTGGGACCATGGAAGAACTGATAAAAATTATAGAGGGAAATGACAGGGGACGTGGGAACATTTTTATGATGTAAATGAAAAATTACATATTTTTTGGCAGTTGTAGGGGATGAAAAATAATTTCTCCTCTACCCTTCTGAATCCTTGAATGAGAATAAAAGACAGATTAACCAGAGGAAGAAAAAGTTTATTTAAACATGCGTACCTCATGTATACATGGGAGAACCCCATGGAAGAATGAGTAACTCCCCAAGATGATTTAGAATTCTGGCTTAAAATGCCATTTTAATAGGGAAAGGGATAGGGAAATAGGCCTCTCCGGGGAGGGTAATTGGGTTTTAGGCAAAGATGAAGGGGCCCTTTGAAGAGTAGATGGGAGATGTGACAAAGTTTGTTCGTTGTGGTGTCAACTTCTGCTTTTCTCTCCTGGTTATTAAGACTCCAGGAGGGGATTTCTAAGTTCCTTTTGGACAATCTCTGTTTAGGCAGGAAAGGGGATTCAGAGGAAGCCTCTCCCTGCCTGTGCTATTGTGTAACAACTCAAAATAATCAGTATGTCAAAGTGGAATATTAGGAGTGGCAAATTCTGCTGCTCATCAAGAATTTTGAACACTCTTCAAGTGTAAAAAGTTATGTTTTTTTTCCCCCCAGAGAATCAGCCTGTTCTGATTTTTCCATTGTGTTCTCCATGCTTGACCTTATTAAGAATGGGATATTGTTCTTTATCCCAGAGCTCATGTTTTTAAATAGAATGCATTAGTGTGGTTTGGGAAGGCCTGAAGAGAGTTATTTCTGTTTATCATGGAATTGCAACTTAAGAATGAAAGAAGTCGTGCTTCTAGGCACTCTGGTAATCTAAGGAGCCATCCAGCCTCCTCTGTGCCCCTGTCACTCTCGCAGCCTTCTCAGTGGTGCTTGCTCCATGCTGATCATGTCTAACCTTTTGCAGACACCACATCTTGTTAACCTCAATGAGGACCCTCTAATGTCCGAGTGCCTGCTTTATTACATCAAAGATGGAATTACAAGGTACATTTGGTTCTTCTTTTGGTCACTCAGTACTTTCTTTTCTCTTAGGATGATTGCATAGCTAAAGGGAAGTAGTTTGGTAAAAAATTTCTTGTATTAATTTGCTGTTTTTCTCATCTGAAATAGTTATAAACTATCCTCTGTACTCTTTTCAAATCAGTGTTTTAACCAGCTGAATCAATTAGCATGTGTAGTTTTAGAAGACTGTAAGTAAAATTTATCCTCCTAACATCTTATATGGATTCTTTAAGGGGATTAGTTTACTAATTAGTTTACAAATAACTCTCTGAGTTATTTGGTGTATGTGCCTCTTCATTTCTTTTTCTCATGTAGGGAGGTTGATCATATATGAAAATAGAGTTTGCAGTTCAAAGCCTCTGATTTAAAAAAAAAAAAAGCAGTACCTTTTTTGTACGTACCAAAGAATATTCTCTGGGAGAAAGAGGCTCATTGTTTGTGGTGCTTTCTGTGTCTGAATTTCCCTGGGAAACACTTTCCCTTGTGTTCAGGGTTGGCCAAGCAGATGCTGAGCGGCGCCAGGACATCGTGCTGAGTGGGGCTCACATTAAAGAAGAGCATTGTATCTTCCGGAGCGAGAGGAACAACAGTGGGGATGGTGAGAGTTCTCGGCTCAGCTTTTCCAACAACCTTTTCATTCCATATTATGAGAAATCCCCAAGACTTGGTATTCCCTGTCTCTTTCAGTGATACTTTCTTATACAATCTAATATTTGAAAATGGGGGGACCTGAGCTGCTTATGAATGCAGGCATGAACATAGCTACTTTACATGAAAAAAGCCTGAACAAAAGCAGCACTTTTGTTACCGCCGAGAATTGAGTAGGACATAGGCAATTAGGCTTGGTCTTGAATCTTAATTATTTAATAGATGAGTAAGAAGGGAACAGATATCCTGGGTGGGTAGTGGGAGATTTGAAGGGCCTCTAGTCTTAATCCAGTACAGTTTATTTATATGTAAAAGGGAAGAAAAAGTCATTCTTGATTTTTGCCCGTGTTATTAATGAAACAGCAAGTTCATAGTGTTTCTGTGCTATATAATTTATTCCTTGCTAATTAAAATACTGGGCTTCCCAGGTGGCTCAGCAGTAAAGAACCTACCTGCCAATGCAGGAGACAGGTTTGATCCCTGAGTTGGAAAGATTCCTTGGAGAAGGAAATGGCAACCCACTCCAGTGTTCTTGCCTAGGACATCCCATGGAGCCTGGCAGGCTGCAGTCCATGGGTTTGCAAAAGAGTCAGATATGACTTAATGACTGAAAAACAACAGCAATCAAAATATTAGCCTTTGGAGACTTCTCTGGTGGTACAAGGAAAAAGTTTCTTCCTTGATGCAGGGAAAAATTGAGGGTAAGAAGAGAAGGGGGTGACAGAGAATGAGATGGTTGGATGAAATCACTGACTCAGTGGACATGAGTTTGTGGCAACTCAGGGACAGTGTTGGACAGAGAGACCTGGCATGCTGCAGTTCATGGGGTCACAAAGAGTCGGACAGGACTTAGCAGCTGAACAGCAATAGCAACAACTGGTGATCCGCTGACTGGGACTCCACGCTCCCAATGTGGGGGCTCAGGTTCCATCCCTGCTCAGGGAACTAGATCTCACATGCTGCAGCTAAGACCCCGCCACAGCCAAATAAATAAATTTTTTTTAAAGAAAAAATATTAGCTTTTGATCATAATTTTCTGATTATTACCTGTATCTCATACTTAAGATTTCTGATGGTTTTTGTTTTTATATACTGAACTGTCCAGATATCAGTGAAACTAACATTTCCTGTCTTCTTCTGAAGTTTATCAAATTGTTAAGTGAATTTAAGTATGTTTCTATCTGAGCCACAGCCCTGGTCCTGATGCCTTAAAGTGAACTGTTACATAGACACTGATCCACTTGATTGGTTATAGAAATCTATGCTAGTCACCTTGAGTCCTCAACTGCTTCCCATTGTTTTCTTCCCATGGTCTGTGATGCTAACATTAGTGTGCATTCCTCTTAGTTATTGTGACCCTGGAGCCCTGTGAACGTTCAGAAACTTACGTAAATGGCAAGAGGGTGACCCAGCCTGTTCAGCTGCGCTCAGGTGAGACTGGGAGAGGCTTGAAGTGTTTAGAACACATGGCTTGCACAAGCAACTTTTTAATTTTTAACTCTTTGTCTCAGGTTGAAGTGATAGCATTAGGACTTATGTTCTTGTAAAACTCCAGAAACTGCTTTTTGCTTTAGGGAGGGTGAGGCTATTAACCAAGATACAGTACATTTAAAAAGTGATTTCTTAACCCTATTTCTGTTTTGTACTAGGGAACCGTATCATCATGGGTAAAAACCACGTGTTCCGTTTTAACCACCCGGAGCAAGCACGGGCTGAGCGGGAAAAGACTCCTTCTGCTGAGACCCCCTCTGAGCCTGTGGACTGGACGTTTGCCCAGAGAGAGCTTCTGGAAAAACAGGGAATTGATATGAAACAGGAGATGGAAAAAAGGTAATGTACAGATGTGATGTGGCCCACATGACTCACCCTTCTTTTCAGTGTTTAGTAGGATTCCTGAAAGAGCTCTGTGATTTTACAGTTTCTTTTCTCTCTTGCTCTTCTTTTCCTTCTAGGCTACAGGAAATGGAGATCCTATACAAAAAGGAGAAGGAAGAAGCAGATCTTCTCTTGGAACAGCAGAGACTGGTAGGAGCCCATCCTGCATCCTCCGTTAGGAAAGGGCAGCTTGCTCTCATGTCCCATCTTCCCCGTCCCACAGACGAGCACTTGCCCGTTGCTTCTCCCACTCTCACTGACACCATGCGCTCTTGTCTCGTGTCCTTCATGGAGAAGGACCTTCCATCTCCTGGTAGCCTTAGCTTGAAATACTGTCCTTAAAGGTACTACTTCTGTGCCTCTATGTCTTAAAGTCACATCTTCTATCAAAACCAAGTGCTTTTTGAGGAAATACTGAGAGCTTTTCTGGTAGCCTTGGCCTCTTGATAGTGGTTTTTGAATATGCACCAGCGGTGACTCTCTCAATAATAATTACTGTGAATATTGAATTTGATGGGTGTTTGCCTTGGTTTTGTTTCTGATCACCTGATAGTACTAATTCTCTGCTCTTGGGCTGACTTGGGGATTGTTCTTATGCTGGGTGGACTTTTTTTTTGTAAGTTAAACTGTGTCTAAAAGTGTTGCTGCACAGTTGCATGTGTTAATCCTTTTCTGTTCCCTGCATGGAGTCTGAATTCTCAGTAAGGGTCTCCATGGCATGTGGGGTGACAGTGGAAGTAGGGGCTGCCCAACCAACTCCAAGAGGAGAGGGAAGTCTGGTTTCTCTGGGTTGAGAAAGCATTTGTGTGAGTAGCTGAGAAATCAGTTTTAGGTTGCAGCTTGTGATGCTAATGGCAATAGCATTTTATGATGTTAATTGATTTTCTAGGTTTTATAGAAATTGAATCACATGAATAAATAAGTTTATCCATTAGTTAGATGTTTCAAGCCATCCAGTTTTGGATTACAAAGCCCTGATTATAGGAAGCTTCTGGGCATTCATTTGGTATATATTATTGAGAAAAAGGCATAACAATCTTTGGATAGTGCGGATACAGTTTAGGAATTTTTCATTTTTTAAGATTGATGGACTTCTTAGGGGTATTAAGGAGAAAGGGGGAACTGGTTAAAGAGGCATTAGTGAGAAAGCTTGGATACTGGTTTCTTCCCTTAGTATAAAATACAGCATATAGAATACCAAGTGTAAACTACATCATGTAAACCATAGCCTTACAGCTGTGCTGTGCTTTGAAAAACAGAGGCTGTTGCTAAATGAATCCGAAAAGCCAAGGACTTGTGCAAAAGCAGTCTTTTCGAGGGCAGCTCAGTTCTCATGCTTGGCAGTGTGTTAACTCAGTTAGTTTGTTATATTGGAAATTATAGTAAAGCCCAAAAAAGAATGGATTGCAAGAATAAATCAAGTGTTTGGGGCAAGATAATAGCAGTGTAATAGATAGTCTCTTTAGGAGGCCTCGTTGGCATTTAGTTTGTTATGAAAACACAAAGATTCAACTACAGTGTGATTAAGGGCTTGGAAACTTTGTGACACATGAAGGAGCCTTTTATCTCAATAATGTAGTATATCTAATAGCATGCCTCTGATGGTCTGCAAGAGATCAAATGAACACAAGTATTAAGCTGTATTTATTTTTTAACAGTAGTGTCTTATATTTGTATACAGCTTTATAATTTACAGAGAGTTTTAACATCCATCATTTTTCTGATTTCCAAAATAACCCTCTTTGGTTGCTATATATGTAAATAAAGGTGACAAATATTTCCTTTGGTTTATAGTTGCGAAAGCCAAGTCTAAAAAATGCTACCTTGCCCATTCTTAGCTGATGGGTCTGAGGCTTAAACCTGAGTCTTCTGGCTTGCTTCGGTGTTCTGTCCAGTAGAGCAATGCTTCTCAACAGCCTGGGAGTCTTGTCAAATGCTGATGCTGATCCTGATCCTGTAGGTCTAGGGTAGGACCTGAGATTCTGCATTTCTAAGAAGCTCCTAGGTGATGCCAGTGCTGCTAGGATCATTTGAGTCACTAACCAGGTGTAAAAGAATAGTGATGGCTGGTGATCATTCTGTGCTCTGAAATAAAGACAGTGACTATTAATAAACAGAATGTAAATTCAGATAATAAAGAATCTGCCTGCAACGCAGAAGACCTGAGTTCAATCCCTGGGTCAGGAAGATCCCCATGGAGAAGGGAATGGCTACCCACTCCAGTATTCTTGCCTGGAGAATTCCATTGTCAGAGGAGCATGGCGGGCTACAGTCCACGGGGTTAAAGAGTCAGACACAACTGAGCAAATTTCACATCAAACCAGATGGCTCCAGGACACATTTAGTTTCCAGAGGACATACTTAGTTTGCAAGTAATCAGGTTCTGATTGCCGATTGCTCTATATCTGAAAGCAGTCTAGGATTTTAAGAGCAGCTCCTTAAAGCAAGGAGGTTCTTTCCTCTCATAAGTCCAACTGTCTCTTCCACTTAAATTTCTTGTCCTCAAAAGGAGTTGATTTCTAACACTTCAGCCTGAGGAATATTTAGCCATTGACAGTACTGAATTAAATGTATTTTTATGACCCTATATCAGTCAACCAACAGATATGTTTTGAATGCACCCTATGGATAAACACTGAGAGGATACAAAGGGCTTAATATTCAGTAAATGTTTATTATTTATTGTATGTGATTATTTTTGCATAATAACAGCATTACAAAAAATGGAATTCAGGCTCATGAGTTTTTTATTCCAGTAATTCCCTACTGTGTCCCATTGTTACGTTGCTGAACACTCTTTCTTAGTTAGTGCTGATTGTATGCCTGGTCCTTTCTACGCTTGCTTTTTGACACATGTTTTGGGAATCTTCTCTCCTCTATTTTCATAGTCTTCAGGCAGAGTCTCTTCAGGAGGCCTACTTTGCATTTGGTATTTAATCAAAACAGAAGGATCATTTAGTGACATGTGAGTTGGACAGATCTGAGTAGTTTTTCCAGCCCTGTAATAAATGAATCTAAATATCTTAAAATCTTTTTTTTTTTTTTTTGACATGAGATAGGATTTGAATCTTGGCATGCAAGTTTTGCAAGAGTTTTCAGTATTGTGGCCAGCATTAAGTGATAGGGGTGATATGTTTGAGCTTTAAAGAGAACATATTCTACAGAGGCAATATGACCAGTATTATAAAAAGAAAGAAAATTATGGCCACTTGATTTAATTTAGTTCTTTTGAATTTATGTAAACTCATTTAATTATGTTTTATTTTAAAATTTGAAGGCATAACTTTTATCTCTTAAATATGATGTTAAAGCAGTGATTAGAATTGTTATTTCCTTAATTAGGTATTCATTTCCTCATTAGGCAGATTTAAAGAAAAATAAAAGAAGCCCAGAGGAAAAAACTGATAGTTAATTATATAGAAAGAATCAGAGCAAATTTGTGTTCTATATAACTCAGTTTTTGCATATATATAAGAAAACCTTTTTAGATGTCAGACATACTTTTTTTCTCTAATGTTTATTAATGTCCTTTATCACTTAAGATTAGATTTTATTACTTAAGATTTTTAAACTAAAAAGGAAAAGGAAAAAATAGTGTGGAGTCTGTAAATTTAGGTTTATCTGTTTTTTGTTGCTAAATTTTCAAATAGGTAGGTATTATAAATGGTTTAGTATCCACTTATAGGCAAATGTCAATAATACAAATCAGTAGTAATGTCCAAAGTCAGGGGCCAGATTATTGCTGTTGTTGTTAGGGGTTATTTTTTCATTCCCTAGAAAGTAACTGTACATACAGACATAGAAGTTTTTGGTCTGGAAAACAAGATACTATTTATCAGTTTCAATTCTTTTTTTTTTCCTAAACCTTTCCTAGAGATGATTATGGTAACCATAGCCAAGTCAAAGAGACTATTAAATAAGAACATTTTATGCCTTAAACTTATGAGTAAGGAAAATAACGATTCGGGGTGACGCCTGAATCCTCACTGCTAATGTGAGACGAATTTTTGAGCGGGGAAAGGTTGCCCCTAAGGTGACCCGCCTACTTTGCGGGATGCCTGGGAGTCGCGATCTGCCCGTCCCCCTTTTACTTTATAAATAAATAAATAAATAAGAACATTTTCATTTACTAGACTACCTTGAACTACCCTTTTAGTGAGTAGTTTCTTTTCCCAGTAACTTTTATCTCCTGAATAGAGAGAGAGCCTTCCTTAACCTTGTCTGCCATAGGGAGTTCTAAATCCAACCCAGCTTTCATTTAGACCCATGTTACCAAGATTTGCTTGTGTTTGTTAAGAATAATTGGTTATTATCCAAATAGCCATTGAATTTTCTTAGTTGTAAAGTCAGACTGCTGTTTTAAGCTTAAGTAAAGTTGTTTGAAAAAGAGGTAATGGTGTAAAAACAGCTGGAAAGACAGAGAGTTACAGATTTTTTAAATAGCATCCACAAGCAGAATATGTAAACAGAATATAATCTTTGTGTTTTACATGTTGATAATGAGAGTTGTCAACTTAAAGTAATATTCCTCAAAAAACTAGAAACACCATAGGTTTTCATAGATGAAACAACAGATCTCTAGGTTGTATTTACTTTGGCAATTTTGAATAATGTTTAAATGAAAGTATGTTTTTCTAACTTAGTTTATGTTCTGGAGATTTGTTTCCTAAAATTTTGGAGATGAGGTATTTATTGGTTTAAGTGTGTGGAAAACAAAATAGCAGACTCACTATAAAGATCCTTTTTTAATGTGTCCTTATTGTATGTATAACAAACTTTAATTGTACAAATTAAATAGATCAATTTGTCATAACACAGGAGAGTAGCAAATCTGATGTGTGCTCATGGAAAGACTAGTTTCAGAACCCTCTTACCTTCTGGCAAAAAACCAATTTGGTTGATAAGAATCTCTCATGGTCTGCTAATAGGGATTCTTAGCATTTTTAACATCCCTGTTTGACTGCTTCTTTTTCTACTTTCTCATCTTCTAACTTTTTTCTAGGGCTGCTCTTTTTAGTAAAGCTAAACAAAACGTGGCATCCTCCAGCATTACTAACCTTTGTTAATCTGCCTGCTCGTCACATCTTGTATGGCATCTGTGCTCACTCATGGGGGAAAAGAGTTTCTGGAAGAAGCAACAGCAATAACCAAGGCAAATGTGGGGAAGTGGCTGCATGGGTGTTAGCATGTGTGGGGTGAAGGTTTTAGTTCATTCTCTTGAGATAGCAGAGTTGTTATTTCACACCATTTTGTTAATAACTTTATGTGACCTTACAGTGAGAGACTTTCTCACTGTTTCAGCCCTCCTAAGAAATTTGATTGCAGATTCCATCACTTAAGCCACAAAGTGGAAATACGATTAATGTTACTAGAAAAAAAAACAAGCAAATCTTCATATTGATAATAATCTTCATAAGCATGTGTCTTAATAGACTTGCACATTAGGGTTTTTTGTTTGTTTTTGGTTGTTGTTTTTTGTTTTTTTTTTTTAGCTTTTTTGATTTCATTTTTAAATTTATTAGGGCTTTTTTGCTTGCTTTTTCTTCAATTTGAGTTTCCTTTTTTACATTTTAATTTTGGTTATTTTGGGGCCATTTTTGATTTTGTTTTTCCAAAGGACGCGGATTCTGATAGCGGGGATGATTCTGACAAGAGGTCCTGCGAAGAGAGCTGGAAACTGATCACTTCTCTGAGAGAAAAGCTGCCTCCCAGCAAGCTGCAAACCATTGTTAAAAAATGCGGCCTCCCCAGCAGTGGGAAGAAACGGGAACCAATAAAAATGTATCAGATCCCCCAGAGAAGACGCCTGAGTAAAGATTCCAAGTGGGTCACCATCTCAGATCTTAAGATTCAGGCTGTGAAAGAGATATGTTACGAGGTTGCTCTCAATGATTTTCGGCATAGTCGCCAGGAGATTGAAGCCTTGGCCATTGTTAAGATGAAAGAACTTTGTGCCATGTATGGGAAGAAAGATCCTAATGAGCGGGACTCCTGGAGGGCAGTGGCCAGGGATGTCTGGGACACCGTTGGTGTAGGGGATGAGAAGATTGAGGACGTGATGGCCAGTAGTAAAGGCGGGACTGATGTGGATGACCTCAAGGTTCATATAGACAAGTTGGAAGATATTTTGCAAGAAGTCAAAAAGCAAAATAACATGAAAGATGAGGAGATAAAAGTCTTAAGAAATAAAATGCTCAAAATGGAGAAAGTCTTGCCACTGATTGGGTCTCCAGAACAGAAAACCCAAGGAAACCAAAAATCGAAGGAACCCGGTGGTGCTGGTGCCACTAGCAGGCCTGAGAATGATGTAAGTAAAGTTGACAGCGGAGACCTTGGGAAAGAAGAGCGTGTCTCCCAGCTGATGAACGGAGACCCAGCTTTTAGACGTGGACGTCTGCGTTGGATGAGGCAAGAGCAAATTCGGTTCAAGAACCTGCAGCAGCAGGAAATAACAAAGCAGCTTCGTCGGCAGAATGTACCTCATCGTTTTATCCCTCCAGAGAACCGGAAGCCCCGGTTTCCTTTTAAGAGCAACCCTAAACACAGAAACTCGTGGAGTCCCGGGACACACATCATCATCACAGAAGATGAGGTGATAGAGCTTAGGATTCCCAAAGAGGAAGATGGAAGGAAAGGAAATAAGCCGGAGAACCAAGAAAAGGGGACTAGAGCAGCTTCTAAGGATCCCCAGTTACCATGGAGCCCTCAGGGCACTCGAAGTCAAGATCACATTCAGGTTAGCAAGCAGCACATTAATAATCAACAACAGCCACCTCAGTTACGCTGGCGAAGCAATTCTCTCAATAACGGCCAACCAAAAAGTGCACGCTGCCAGGCATCTGCTTCCCCAGAAGTGCTTGCCTCCCACAGTGGCCACCCCACCGCTGACCTGCAGACTTTTCAGGCGAAACGCCACATGCACCAGCACCGTCAAGCTTACTGTAATTATAACACTGGAGCTCAGGTGGAGGGCAGTGCGACCACTTCTTGTCAGAAGCAGACTGACAGACCCAACCACTGTAGCCAGTTTGTGACACCTCCGAGAATGAGGCGACAGTTCTCAGCACCCAATCTCAAAACTGGTCGGGAAACCACAGTCTAAATTACTGGACAAGCTTGAATTCTTGGTGGAGGAAACAGGCGATGGTAGCTTATGATTTGAGTTGGTTCTAGCCTTGGCCTTCAGCTCTTAGTATTTACATTGTGATTGTAATGTTGTGTTCCTAAAATATGAACTGATTTTATTGTTAAAACATAAGACACTGGTAAATGTTTCAACACCTCCCTGTTGTTTGTATACCGTAAGTGCGCAGTTTCTGGAATTTTGGACAAAACACTGAGACCTCTCTTATTTTTCTGAGACTGTCCTCTTTCCTTGGTGCCTAGATAATATACTTACTTACCCAGACTGGTCTTGTTTTGGTGTAAGTTTGTTATGTTTTTGTAAAACCTATAAATTTATCTGATATCCAGAAATACCTGCCTCTTAGTTTATGCAAACATTCTAAAGAGGAATTTGAGATGTTGAATTAAATGTCTATTATTTCCCCATGAATGTTAGCCATTAGTTTAAAAATAAGAACATGCAGCTGTGGACACAGCTTTGGATTTCCTATCCATGTCTGTTTCTTTCTTTAAATATTGGAAGTTCATAAGCCAGAACTAAATGTCTTAGGACATATTTTATAGTACACAACTTTGCATTTTCTGGGGAATTTTCACATCTTCTTACTCAGCTGTATTTTGCATAGAACTGATTCAGTAGGTTTTTTTTTTTTTCCCTTTTGAATACATCAGTGTATGTATAAATTCTGTTATAATACTGAAATCTTTAAGTTGGCACCTGCCTGGATTTCTGTTTGTGGTTTGCATTTTGAAGTTTAACATCATTTCTCACACAAATACATACAGAAAGACACTGAACTATTCACCAATGTCACGCCAACAGAAATACCAACAAAATACCAATATGATGCTTTGAGCAGTATATATAAGTTTATTAAGGAGGTTATTTGGTGGAGAGAGGGAAGAGGTGGGACATGGGGAGAAGGCTGCAGCCTTTGGCTGTGTGCTGCTTGTTTTCAGTAGATGATGAAATATTAAACTAAGTTAACTTTGGTCTGATTTAGAATAAAGGAGATGATGTATACTAAACTATTTGGTCAGCAGCAGTAATGCTTATAGATATTCAAGCAAGGAAGGAGACGTCCTGATGAACAGTTACTGTATCAATACCTCATTTTACTGTGTTGTGGTCTCAGTTTGCCTCACTGGAGAATCCACTAAAAAGGATGGATTTTGATGGGAAGAAAAGAATAGTTTTCTACATCCTTCATTTCTTGAACTTGTCAGAAACTTTTTAAGAGGCGGTGTGAAGAGCCAGAGATGTCTATGAGATTGCCTGACGCCACGTTGTTGAAGATCCCCAAGTCACACTAAGTCACCTGTCAGACGCTTGTCTTCCAGATGGTGTGAAAAATTACATCTAGGATAGAAGTTAATGTTCAAGGAAGCCTCACAGATTGTGGTTATATAGGATGTTTTTCCTTTGCGTGTGGGCACTATGCTTTATTAGAACATTGTTTTTGATCGTAATATTTTTTTTTTCTTTGCTTCTAAGAAAATGCTTTCATAATGCACAAAAAGTTGCTTCCAATTAACTTCGGGGGCTATTTTTGCTTTCATAGCTAGAGCAGTCCTAGTCTTCAGCTGAAGTTTCATGGCAGATTAGATAGGAGTGATGTTTGTAATGAATTGACTTAATTGAGATGACAGTGTCCTGTACCAGGTGGTTTGAATGTACTTGGTAGGCTACTTCAAATCAGTCACTTCAGTCCATCTTGTGTACTCCCCATTTGTCCTTCTTAGACATAGTTTTCTATTTCTTTCTTGCAAGAGGTTCATTTTCTAAAACTAATAATAATAATAACTCAGCTTTCAACTCTGTATCAAAAGTGGGCTCTCAGTTTTCCAACTTGAGATAACATAGGATAGACCTATATATTTTCATTTTTATGGTGGCCTTTTTAATCTTCTTATGGACAGGTATCTCCCTTTGGCACTGAACAATGGGAGTGAGTTTCTACTGGTGATCAGGAGGCTGTAAAATGAAAAGAAGTACAGTGTTTTCATTCACAAATGTGGGTTGTGGTAGGCACTATACCCACACTTGATATTCCAAAGGATTAGATTTATATTTGTGCTTCATCTGCTGATCCAGGCACCCTCAGATTACTGAAATGTTTAGATATCTAAACTAGCCCTTAATTTCAGATGACCAGGAAGAAATGAACCAAGGTTTGATTGATTGCTATCTATGTCGCTTCATGTATTTCAGAGCAGATACTTATTTTAGAAAATAACTATATGAATGAAATTACTTTATTGACTCTCACTAAAGAAGTAACTAGTACCATGCTTTTGTGATTGGTTATATTGCTTTGTTTTGTTTTTAAATTTGACAGTATCTGTCCCCAAGCTTAAATCCTACAAGACCAAAGGTAAATGGTCACCACTAAGTCATTATTGTATTACTGAAATATCCCTAGCTGTTACCATGGTGCAGTTTAAGAAAGGTTTGTGCTATTGAAATTACATAATGATCTGACAATAATAGACGTTGAGTCCTAATCAATTGGTACAGTTTCACAAATCAAACCACACACCGTGGTATTCTTTGCAGGATTAGTTTGTTTATCTAACAAGTCTAAACCTAAGGGCTTTTCCTTTATTTTTACTTCTAATTCTTTCTGGTGCTTCTCTGGAAATACATTGAATGGGAATTGTTTATTCCATTGAAGTGACTTGAAGTGACCTCTTATGCTTTAGGTGCAGATTGATGCTGGGGGGAAAAAAACAGGACAAAACACAGTTTGCCACACCAGTGTCTGCATTAAAGGCTGTCAGACTATAGGAAGTTACTTAGGTTTCCTCTGGTCAGTGCTATGCTCCTGTGCCTTCCTGGTCCTTTGTAGACTTGCCTTAATGATATACACAAAAGACTGGGAGCAGGGGAAGCTGCTGTCCTGGCATACCTTAATGAGGATGCCTTCTTAGGTGTAATGCAAAGCAAGTACTTGCTCTATGCTGTCAGAGCCAGATTCTGTATTATGAACAGTTTTCATAATTGTCCACTTTATGTCATCTTTATGAGGTTTAAAAATCTGCTCTAGATATTTAGTTTTAACCACTGTAGGTTGTGAAGTGTATTGGTTTCCTCCCATCATTACTGTAAAAAGAAGTTGTGAATCTTCTTGTTAATGAACTATGGATTTCTCCCCCAGTTTCTTTTTAAAAAAATGCTTGAAGATTGGTCTTTGAGTGTAAGATCTACCTTTTCAGAAAGGGAGAGTTAGTTTGTAATGTTAAAAAATTAAGTCCTCATTCAATAAAAACTGAAGTTACCTTTTAAGAGTGTGATTTGTCTCTGATGTGGGAGGAGGGGAGAGGGAAACAGCATGATGCTGATTAAACCTGGTCTTGACTTTTATTTATTGCTTTTTCATCTGAAGATGATTACAAACCATATCTTTTTAACAATATTTCCACATGAACTTCTTTTGTTTAGAGCTTTTGCTTTTCTTACCCTTTTTGAGTTATCAAAATTCTGTCTTAAATGAGATCTTTAACCCTTATTTTATGCTACCTTTTACTTAAATAAAAGCTTTTCTACTTTTGACGATGAATGAGGATATCAGAAATCCCTGTGTGAAGTCTCTGACTTTACCTTGAGCTGTATTTTCTATGTTTTTACTATGTAATTTTGATTTAAAGTTTTCTTTAAATGAAATGGTAAACATCTCTTCATATGGGTAGACATGAAATTTCTAAAAAGTTTTGAGTAGTTCTGTTTAACCTTTCTTTCTTTTCCTTTAACCATTGCTTTTCTCCACCCAGAGTATTGGTCATATGTTAGAGGTGAACAGGACAAAACGGAAGATTTTTCTGGAACGGACCATCAGTTGTATTGAACATTTGGACATGCATTATTTTTTATGTTGATAAACAACATAATCATACATAAGAGAGTAGAATACAATATCTACATGGGTTTTTTGTTCCCCTGCCATGAGTTTTTAATATGAAATCTGGAGCTTGGGTTGGTTTGCTTCAGGCCTTTTCTCTTTCCCTTCAGGTACTTTGTATCTCTCTGCTGTCGGTGAAACTGGTGGAAAAGTAGCCAATATCTGACCATTACTAGGACAGTACAGACGTTTCCAGTGTAGTATAATATGTGTAGTAATATGTACAGGGTGAGCGTGGGCAGAGTGGGAAAAGGTTTCTGAAAGAGGAAGCCCTAAGCCAAGAGCAGAATCCCAAAGCATAAGTGCCAGTGTATCCAAGTGAAGAATGACAGAGGGAAGGAGGAAGTGTGTCAGGTCCAGGGATCTGCAGGTGACTTGGGGTGGTTGGAACACAGCTGTGTATTGGATGGTGATAAGAGATGAGTGGACCTGGGGAGAGGGGACAAGGGCCAGACTGGCATGCTGGGTTAATGGCATCCCATCCCATGGCTTGGGATTTTGTCTTGAGTGTGATGGAAGCTAACACATATTCTACAGGGAGATTGCATTGTCAGATTAACCTTTTAGAAATGGCTGAAGTTTGGGTGGGAGGATGAGTTTAGAAGAAGGTAGATTCAGAGCCTAGTGCTTCAGTTGGGAACTTGCTGGAGGAACTAAATGAGAAATGATGCTTTCCAAGCAGGCAGGGAGAGAGGAGAGAGGGCGTAACTGATAGATTACTTGGAGATAGAATTAATGAATCATTTTGTGGTGGGGCTAAGCCTATGTGTATTTCCCATGAGGTGGTGAATGGCTCTTGCTTGAACCGTGGTTGGAAAATAAAGTAAATGAGACCAAAACAGGCCTGAGAGACAGGAGAAGACGGGACGCACAGGTCTAAGAACAGGTGTGGTAGGACCCCCAGAGGCACAGATCTGAGGCTGTCTGCATGGTGCTGCTGGTGGTGAGTAATATAAGGTGTTGATAAGAACTGGAACATGGATGTTTCCCTTCTAGCTATTGCTTGCTAATTATAATCCACCATGAAAGGAGGAAGGCAGTATTAGCAAAAAGAGCTAAGTCTCTAATGTCAAAAGCAGTCTAACTGGAAAACCCAGAATTATGACATTCATTTTTACCTTCAATGCCATCTCCTCAGAGATGCCCTCATTGTGACATCGTCATCTCTCACCAGTAATACCACAGTAGCCTCCTAACGAGACTCTTCTCTCCTGTTCCTGACCTCTGTACGCCATTGTCCACACAGCCACCCGTGTCATCCTTTGAGTGGCTTCCCATGGTGCTTTGTAGCCTCCAAGGCTGTCCGTGTTTTGTCTTCTTGCCTGCCTCTCTGACTTCATGTCTTAACATTCTTTCTCTCATTGCAAGCACTTTGTTCTTTGAGCTTGCCAAGTTTGTTCCCACTTCTGGGCTTTGGCACTTCCTCAAGACTAGAATCCTTTCTCCTTGTGCCTAACTCCTCTTCCAGATCAATGCTCACCTGCCCCTTTTCCTGCTGCAGCCGATCCAGGGCAGCTCACTGTTTAGTATTAACTCTGTGAGCTTATTTGGTCCTTGCATGAGAATGTAATTTCACCTAGAATAAGTACCTTATCTTTCGTGTTTTCTTCACCATCCATCTGTGTGTGTCACCCAGAAGAGTGGTTCTCAAAACTGTCGTGTTCATGAGAAGCTTCCGAGGGGCTTGTGAGAACATAGAATGCTGGGCCCACCCCCAGAGTTTCTGATTCCGAAGGTCTGGAGTGGGGTCTGATAATTGTGTTTCTGATAAGATCTCAAATGATGCTGCTGTTCCTACTGCTGCTGGATCAGCATCTGTCTTTGAGAACCACTGTCTAGATCAGAGACTGGTAAACATTTTCTGTAAAGGGCCGGGTAGTAAATATTTTGGGCTTTGTGGGCCTCATATGTAAGTAAGTGTTAATCACTCAGTCATGTCCAACTCTTTGCAGTCCCATGGACTGTAGCCCGCCAGGCTCCTCTGCCCATGGGATTCTCCAGATAAGCATACTGTAGTGGGTAGCCATTCCCTTCTCCAGGGAAACTTCCTGACCCAGGGATCAAACCCAGGTCTCCCTCATTCATTGCAGGCAGATTCTTTACAGTCTGAGCCACCAGGGAAGCCTCCTGAGAGCCTCATGGTCTTTGTCAAAACTGCTCAGTTCCGCTGTTGTAGCAGAAAGGCAGCTGTAGATGATACTCGAAGGGATGGATGTGAGTGTGTTTTGCTAAAGCTGCTGTATTTATAAAGATAAGCAGTGGTCTGGATTCAGCCTGCAGATTTGCCAACCTCCAGAAGGTGGTCGCTTCTGAGAACTGTTGACTAGAAGATCAGCACACAACTGTGTATCTACTCTAGAAGACAGACAAGTGCCAGACGCTGGTGATTCAGCGGTGAATGAGAGGTTCCTGGCCTCATGAAGTTCACAGAGTCATGGAGGAGATAGTCATTAGACAGTCACACCAATGGTCATATTGTACGTTTGTGACAAATACCTTGAGGGAAAATCACAGGATGCTCTGAAGGTTTACAACCAGGTGTCTCAGGAGATGAAAGATGGCCTTTTTTTTGCTCTCAGCTGCTGACTTTCATTTTGAGAAAGAGAAGGAACCAGGAAGTTTTTCTTTTCTCCCCACGTCCAGGTCTGCGTGTGTCCACGCATCCATACCCATACCTGGTCTTCCCTTCTCTTGATGGAAGAACTGTCTGTGCTCCTGTCTTAGCCCAGTCCTTGTTCCCTTCATTCCGTTTTCTGGGGGACTTAGTGTACACCTGCCCCTTCTCTTTCACAGCATCTGATTTTCTCTTCTACATTATTCCTGTCAGCATGCAAACACCTGTTTCAAAAAAAGTTTGTGTTCCCTGTGATCTGCCACTGTGTTTGTCCCTTTTTCTAGAAATACTCCTGAGAGCGTTTTCTGTACTTTTCCCCACTGCCTACCTTCTTTTTCTTGTCTCCTCTCCCCATTCTTGAACTCAGTCCAGTCAGACTCATTCCCACCTCACCACTGCAGCCAGTCTGGTTAGGGTCACCAGGAGTCTCCTTGGTGGAAAATCCAGGTGTTTTCTCAGTCCTCATTTTACTAAATCTGTCTAGCATCTTACGTGGCTTGCCTGCTCTTTACTTCTCAAAACCTTTTGTTCTCCTGACTTCTGATTTTTCTCTTGCTGCTGATTCATGGTCTCTGTGGCTGCAGACAGAGGCCATTTTTTTTTTTCTATGTCTACTCTTTCCTCCAGGTGACCTCACACATTTCTGTGGCCTCAGCTTCCATGTTCACACAGGTGATAATGAAGACAGCACCTCCTGTTGAGCATTTACAGTGAACCTTTTAAAGACACATGTTTGACCTGCATGGGTCCACTTAGATGTGGATTTTTTTTCAGTGAATACATACCACAGATCCACATTTGTTTGGATCTGCAGGTATGGAACCTTGGAAACTGAGAGCCGACTGTAAAATTATATGCAGGTTTTCCACTGCGTGGAGGGTCAGTGCCCCATCCTGTATTGTTCATGGGTCAACAGTACTTGGACCAAATACATGTGATACATTTTACATGTATTAACTCATTGAATCCTCCTAGCACCCTTCCTCTGTGAAGTGTAGGTGTTGTTAATCCCATTTTACATACTTTCCCATCCTCGAACAGCTGCTCAGTGGAGTCCAGGTCCAGTCTCAGGCAGGCAGTCTGTCTGCAGAATCCTGCCCTGCCTCCTTCTCTGCTGACTCTCAGAGGTACTCTCTCCAGCCTGGGCCTTCCCCCAATCTCACAGACACACAACTGTGACCTGACATCCAGAGAATTAACTGGCATCTCACATCTGAACTGTCTAAACCAGAGCAGCTAGCTCAGACCAGAATCCAAGAGTGATCCTCAGTTTCCCTTTCTTTCTCACACCCCGTGGTCACATCTTCATCTGCAGGGCACACTTCTTCTGCCTCTAAAACATATGCCAACTCTATTTGCTTTTTATCCCCTGCTGAGACCCTGGACCAGGCCACTGCAATCTCCCTTGAAACTGCAGGGACAGCTTCACGGCTCCTGGCCTTGTTCCAGTTCTCCATGGACATTGGTATTTTTACTGCATATGCTAGATTTCCTGGCTCTAGGCTACCAGTGACTCCCTTAGAATAAAATCCACAGTCCTTTCCGTGGCCTATAAACCTGTCCATAACCCAGTCCCTATCTGACAGTTGTCAACTGCTTCTCCGACTCTTCTCATTCCTCCAGTCCACCCACACAGGTTTTCTTGCTTTTCCTTAAATACACCAAGCTCCACACCAGGGCTTTTGTGCTTGCTGTTAGCTAAATTTGACTGGAATAAGCAACCTACACCAAGGATCTCAAGAGTGCTTGCTTAGATCTCTGATTAAATGTTATCTCTGCAGAGAGACCTTCCCTGAGTACCTAATCTTAGCTTTCCTCCACCCATCTCTTCTCTCTATTGGCCTCTGATAACTCCCTTTCTTCGTAGCACTTCTCTCTCCTGAAATCATAGCATGTACCGTGTCTGTTTACTGTTTATTATATCTCCGTCACCAGTGGAACTTCTGTCTTACTGACCACTCACTATATTCCTAGCATCTGGCACATAATAGGAGTGAAGATGGTATTAATTTGTCAAATGAATGGATGGATAGTGGTTTTTCTTTGAAAAAAATAGCATGCTCTGAGTCCAGTTGCTTGGGTTCAGGTCCTTTTTCTACCACTTGCTAATTTTGATCTTTGGAGAGTTACTTAATTTCTTTAAGGTTTTTCTTCTTTTTTTACATGAGAATAACAATAGAAACATTTTCATAGCATTATTGGGATGATTGGAACAACCCATGTTAAACATTTAGAACAGTTCCTAGCACAAGGTAAGCTTGAAAACAAGGATAGTCGGGTGGGAGAGAACATTCCAGAAGAGGAAACTGTCAGTGCAGTGCCTTTATAACTATGGAACATATATTCAGTTAGTTGGAACTTTTTATAAACACAGAAGACTATTGGTAAATATATTATTTTTTAGCATGTTTTCTGTAATGAGTATAATTTTCTCCATGAAATGGACAGAACAGTAGTATCTGAATCTCTTTATCCATTTATTGCAGGAAAATCCAGGGCTTAGTAGTTTTCTGGTAACAATCAAAATATCCTTGTTGGAAGCTCATATGCAGCCTAGTTTGGGGAAGAGGAGGCCAATTCAAGAATTGGTATTGACATTTGGGGGCTTCCTTGATAACTCAGCTGGTGAAAAATCCACCTGCAATGCCGGAGCCCTGGGTTCGATCCCTGGGTTGGAAAGATCCCCTGGAGAAGGGGGAGGCTACCCACTCCAGTATTCTCGCCTGGAGAATTCCATGGACAGAATAGTCCTTGGGGTTGCAAAGAGTCAGACATGACCGAGTGACTTTCACTTCACTTTCATTGACATTTGGACTCCCAACTGTTTATAGAAATTTTTCCTGGTCAAAGTGCATTTAAAGTTTTAGGTCTCTAGCATTATTACACATCTTTTTATGTCAGCTTTACTACCACTAAAGCACAACCACAGCTTTTAGGAAAAGTCACTCTTTTAACTGTCAGAATCTAAAGATTTTGTCTTCATTTGGTAGTTTGACCAGCTTGCAAACTCATTTTTTTCCCTCCTTTTTAAATTGAAGTATAATTGCTTTCCCATGTTGTGTTAGTTCCTGCTGTACAAGAGACTCAGTTGTATGTGTGTACACATCCCCTCCCTCTTGAACCTCCCTCCGCCTCTCCCATCCCACCCCCCTAGGTCATCAATGGAGCACCCAGCTGAGTTCCCTGTGCTGTACAGCAGCTTCCCACCAGCTAGCTGTTTTACTCATGGTGTAATCCTATTCTTGAGGAAATCCTCAAAAATAAACCAGTCACAAAAATTCACAAGCATATATGATCCCACTTATATGAGATACCTAGAGTAGCCAAAATCATAGAGACAAAAGGTAGAATGGTGGTTGCCCAGGGCTGCAGGGGTGGAAGTTAATATTTCATGGACAAAAAGTTTCAGTTTTACAAGGTGAAAAATTCTGGAGCATGGACAGTGGTGATGGTTGTAGAACATATTAGCGTATTTCATGCGTTAAAATGGCAAATTTTATGTCGTGTATATTACTATAATTTAAAGATTGGGGCAAAAATGAAAAACAAAAAAATTCTCAAGCTAAAATATTAATATTTTTTTGCATATGATGCTCTTTAGGTAAATCAGCAATCTTTCTCTTGCTAAAAGAATCCTATGTCATACATAGGTTTTTTAAAAAAAAACCCAGCCTCTTACTTTGAAAAAAAAGAGTACAGTGAACCTTTGTATACCCATATGTGTATACTATTTCTGAATCATTTGAGAGTAAGTTACAGATACCATGTTAGTTTACCCCTGAATACACGTATATATCCTAAAACCAAGGATATTCTCTTAATACCATTATCCCATATAAATATTTAATACTGATTCAAAATCATGTAATATACAGATAATTTTCAGATTTCCATAGTTGTCTAAAAAATATAAATGTTAGAAGTGTGTTATGTTTTTTTAATCCAAGATCCCAATCAAGGTTTATTTACTGCATTTGGTTCTGGTATTTCTTTTATCTTTCATTACATAGGTATTTTTGAAGAGTCTAGGTCACTTTCTAATTTGATTATTTCTTTTTTTTTTCATTTATTTTTATTAGTTGGAGGCTAATTACTTTACAATATTGTAGTGGTTTCTGTCATACATTGACATGAATCAGCCATGGATTTACATGTACTCCCCATCCCGATCCCCCCTCCCACTGATTATTTCTTCAAGATTTGATTTAGGTTAAACATTGTTAAGAATGCTATAAATGTTACATTGTGTACTTCCATCTGCTTCACAGCAGTAGATGTAAAATGTCAATTTGTCCTATTTTCAGTAATGTTAAAGTTTAATAAATTTAGTTAATGTGTTTTTTTCTAGTGCTTTCTCATTAGTAGACTCTTGCGATTGTGTGAATATTCTGTTTTCCATCCACCTTTCACTCAGTTGTGATAGCTTGTATTAATGATCCTTGGATGATTCAGTTACTACATCTGGGGTTGCAATATAGTAGTGATTTTCTGTCATTCCCTCTTCATTTATTAACTGCCTTTTTGTTTTGTTTTTTGGTAAGGAAGAGCTTTCCCTTTTTTCTCTCCATCTTTCCAGTATCACTGTGGTCTCATGGATTCTTTTTATACTCAACGTGCTATATATTCTTTTCCTGTTGTTATTATTTATTGACCAGTGGGAGTCTTTGTCCTTTTAATATGGTCCTATTGGTCTTTGAGTACTCTGTGCTTTCTGGCACAAGATATTCTGGGGTAACCTTGTTACCAAATTTTCCTTGCTCCAAATCTGAAATCAATCATTTTACTAAGGAGCCCTGGTTTCTGTTAGTGGAGAATGGTATTTAGAAACCAAGATGGGGGGCTGGATGTATGTAGATAAGAAACTTTCTAAAAACACTGCTTGTGGGAGGGGGGATCGGGATGGGGAATACATGTAACTCCATGCCTGATTCATGTCAGTGTATGACAAAGCCCACTTTAAAAAAAAAAAAAAAAAAAAACAGTATGGCAAAAACCACTACAATATTGTAAAGTAATTAGCCTCCAACTAATAAAAATAAGTGGAAAAAAAAATAAAAACACTGCTTGTCATTTTGATAGTATGTTGCCATTTAAGAGGACTTTCACATACATTTTAAAATGGTATGTCATTTGGTCCTTCCTGCAGTCCTGCCTTAAATTTAGGCAGGTGGAATAATAAAATCTTCATTTTAAAAAAAGGTCAATAAATAAATAAAGGCCAAAATGAGGTGTTAAAAGGATTAACTTTCCCAGAATTATAAGACTAGTAAGAGCAGGTTCCAGGAACAAAACCCACGTCTTTATACCTGGTACTTTATATTTTTCTTTTTCTTTTTCCCCCACAGTACATGGTCTCCTAAAAAGCATGTTTAGATGTCTTTAAAAAGCTGTTTCAAAAAAAAAAAAAAACAGCTGTTTTGCTGGCTCTTGGTCACTGCCAGCTCCACTAAAGAGAGAAAGCTTCCTTTGTGAGACTAAAGGATAAATGACTAGAGCCTGGAGAATATTTGCATCCTTCTTAGCTTTGCCATTGGGAGCCCCTTTTGTGATGGAGTTTGCTGACTGGGCTCTCAGTGATCCTCTGTAATGCATGGAATATTTGATTTGTGACTTGGAGAGCTTTGTTTGAAAACAGTACAAGGTCGTACCTAAATCTTCTATCTCTTTACAGCCTGTAATCATGCCACTCCTAGAGAAGCAGGAAGCCTAATAGTTTATTTTTAAAATGCTGTGCTTAATGCTGCGATTTGGTATTTTACTGCGTGAAGGTCTTTTTCTTGTTTTTTTTTTGTCAAAAAACACGAGCTTTTTTTTCATGAACACGCCAAGGAACTGTTTTAGACATTTTTTTCCCTGTTCTCTTCCCACCATGCCATTTTAATACCTCAGATATATAGGGTATCAGTTTACATACTGTATGTGTATTTGTGCTTTATACATTAAAAAGGTTTTTTTAGTCCCCCAAGAACCATTTTATTTTTCACTGATAGTAGTGATATCACACTTACTGAGAATGCATGGAAACAAGGGAGAAAGGAAGGATGTATATGATTTTTAATATAATAGTATATTTTATAACAGTATATTTTGATATAAAATTTCTTTATTGAATAAATAAATGCAGCATGTAGATTATTTCAATCCTAATAACACTGTGTTCTTTTAACACTGACCTTCCATGAAAGCTAAACTTATCCTACATCTGCAAAGATAGTAATATTTCATCCATAGAGTTTCAGAGTCTACGATTTGAATTTTTTCTCCCATCCAAACAGATAATTGGAACTCTTAGCAATACTAGTGAACTTAATCTTTTCCAGTATTGTTTTTTTTTGGAATTCTTGGATGTGTCAAGATACTATTTAAATGCATTTTAACCTTTAAGGGACACATGCATTTTTTTTTTTCCTTGAAAATTCCCCCTTTGCTCTACTGTAATCCCAAATAAAGAACTCTTGAGTCTAAGGAGTTGAAAGAGAGACTGCAGTTAAGTTCCCTAGAATACAAGATCTTTTAAAGCATTTACCCAATGCAGACTATTTTGTGTGCTTTATGGCTTTCTTCAGAAGCATTTCTCTGTATGTCTGTCTTTTTATTGTAGCTTCCTGCCTCTGTCTTCTCGTTTCTTTGTCCTTTGCTGTTTCTCCCTTGCTTAATCTTCCTTTCATTTCTCTTTTCCTTCCCTCCTGTTTCCTCTCTCTCCTACATGTTATCTTCTTTGTTTTCATTCAGGACTATGAGAGTAAATTGCAGGCCTTGCAGAAGCAGGTGGAGACGCGATCCCTGGCTGCAGAAACAACTGAAGAGGAAGAGGAGGAGGAAGAAGGTGAAATCTAGAGACTGAAACTTTCCTCTGTAGATGTTTTGAATCTGTGTTGTCAAATTCCTGAGCCAGTTTAAAGATGATTTAAAAGATGCTCAAGGCTAAGAGTCCAGGCTGTACTCTATCAGGTTGGGGTGGGACTAATAGTGTCTCTTAGAACCCAAAGTTTCTGAGCATAGTCTCCATAGAAATATCTTGAGCAGTTTACATAAACTGTCTCATGTTACCATACATATGAAATTTATATATATGTGACAAGCACATATAGAGCTTAATCTTTGTTAAGATGCTCTGTTTAACGGATTCCCCTGGTGGTCCAGTGGTTAAGGTTCCACATTTCCAATGTAGGGGGCAAGGGTTTGATCCCTATTCAGGGAACTAAGATCCCATATGCTGAGTGGTATGGCCAAAAAAAAAAAAAAAAAAGGGATGCTCTGTTTTATTTGTTGGTTTATGTCAGGGATTTCCCCGTGAGGACTTTGGAATATAGAAGCGTGCATTAAATCTCTTTCTGGCAGATTGCTCATCACATTGTTTTGTCATACCTACCTGTCTGAAGTTTTCTAGAATTTTTTTGTTGAAATTAAAATGCGGTGTGAACGTTCATCATATTTTATTTTTTCACCCAACCTCTTTAGTAATCTCAAGGCTTCATAATAACTTTAAAGGAACTCCTAATTTATACACTGAATTCCTTTATTTTTAAATATCTATGTGAAATATGACCTTCTTTTTCCTCTACTAGAAAGTAAAATAGATCTGTTTCAAGTTGTACAACAGACTAAGGGTTTTTCTTTATTATAAGCCACACAGAGCTGTATCTAAAAAAAGAAAGAAAAACTGGAAAGTAACTTGATTTTTTTAAAAAGCTGAGGTATAGGAGGGATATAATTTCTACATAGTTATGAGTCCACCATTAAATACACCTGGTTTGCTCTTTCAGTTCCATGGACACAACATGAATTTGAGCTGGCCCAGTGGGCCTTCCGGAAGTGGAAGTCTCACCAATTCACCTCATTAAGGGACTTACTCTGGGGCAATGCCGTTTACCTAAAGGAGGCCAATGCCATCAGTGTGGAACTAAAGAAGAAGGTATGGAGGTTGTGGGAACAGCGACCATCCTGAGGCAGAGCTGAGCCTGGTGGGCTTCATGGTCCTCGTTTTAAGACCACCTTTCCCTTGGGTGAACTCGCAGCTTTTTGCTGTGAAACAGATTTATATATGCCTTCATTTAACATATGTGCCTGGAATGAAGTAGGTACTAGTTGTTCAGTTGCTAAGTCATGTCCGAGTCTTTGCGACCCCATAGACTGCAGCACACCTAGCTTCCGTGTCCTTCACTATCTCCCAGAGTTTGTTCAGATGCCTGTTGAGTTGGTGATACTATCTAACCATCTCATCCTCTGCCGCCCTCCCCTCCTCCTGCCTTCAGTTTTTCCCAGCATCAGAGTCTTATCCAATAAGTCTGCCCTTCACATCAGGTGGCCAAACTATTGGAGCTTCAGCTTCAGCATCAGTCCTTTCAATGAATATTCAGGACTGATTTCCTTTATGATTGACTGATGATCTCCTTGCAGTCCAAGGGACTCTCAAGAGTCTTCTCCAGCACCACAATTCGAAAGCATCAATTCTTCAGCATTCAGCCTTCTTTATGGTGCAACTCTCAACATCCAAACATGACTACTGGGAAAATCATAGCTTTGACTATACGGACCTTTGTTAGCAAAGTGATGTCTTTAAGTATTTGTTAAATGAAATTTTTAAAATAACATGTTTTCTAGCCTGTTTTATATATGAGGAGACTGTATTCCTGATGAGAGTTAAAGAAACATATCAGTAGAAAAATATTTCCCTTGGGTTCTGAAAATCTCAGTTTTCCTTTAGTTCTCTACCATTGAGTTGGCACCTGTAAGTCTTCTGTGCCTCTCTACTAGGGTCTGAGGGGCAGTTCTGTGGAATGGACAAGCACATGCATTCTGCAGCCACACAGCCAGGTTCCTATCCCAGCGCTCCCAGTTGTTTGACTCTAGTAACCTGGGCCTTTAGGCCCTCATCTACGGAAGGAGTGTAGCAACTGGGCCTGCCACCCAGGGTTTTTGTGATTTCATGAAGGGTGAGAGAATGAATACACATACAGTGCTAAAGTAGTGTCTACGCATGGTAATTGTGATGCCGGAAACATCACACCACAGTATAGATTCATCGTTGTGCATGTCCCTCTGTTTGACAGTCTTCTGACTGCTAAGATTACAGGGAATAGGATGAGGGGCAGTATTGAGAAGTAGGTAAGATCTCACACTGCCTGACTTTGGGGAAAAATCATTCTCTTTTTCTAGGGCTGTATTTTTAGTTTCGTGAAATAGGAATAAGATCTCTTATTCTTTTGTAACTCCATCTCATTTTGTGATTATATATTAACGATTTCCCTCTTCAAATTGATTAAATGATGGCAGGGCCTAGGTCTCTTTTTCTCACAGCTGTACCTAGCATTTCATTAATGGTTTGTTTAAAAAAAAAATAGGGAGTTACCAAGAAATAAATGACATGATGATTGCAAAGCACTTTTCTGTAGTAAACACTTTTAAGAGTAACAGTTATAATCCTCTGAATTTAACAGAAAACCTTAGCACGTGTCCACCCACTCTCATTTGGAGAGGCATTCCTGGGTCCACCTTCTGTTCTCTATGAAAGCCTTTGTTCAGTCAACCAGGATGTATTTATTGAGATTTTAGGTTGTGCAAAAACACTGTGCCAGGCCAGGAAAACAAAGACTGTAAATAGCTAAATGATTAATATACAAGTAGCCACGTTTCTTACTTAATCAGAAGCTGTTGACCACATGCTGCTCTTTGACGTCTTTCCCCTTGGGCCTGATTATGTTGCCTTGTTTCTGAACCTCACTTGGAAAAACAAAAAGCTTGTTTGTCCATGGTTTCTTCTGTTCATTTAGGTGCAGTTTCAGTTTGTTCTGCTCACGGACACATTGTACTCCCCTCTGCCTCCTGAACTGCTTCCCACTGAGATGGAAAGAACTCAGGAAGACAGACCTTTCCCTCGTACGGTGGTAGCTGTAGAAGTTCAGGATCTGAAAAATGGAGCAACACATTATTGGTCTTTGGAGAAACTTAAGTATGAAAACGTTACATGTAAAGCCAGTTGTTTTATTTAGAAAATAATAAGGAATTGCTCATGTGGGCTCTTCTCTCCGTGATGTTGCCGTTGCTTCCTTTCTGTGTATCTAAGTGCTGTTGCTGGTGTTGGTAATAGCACTGTCTGTTCGTTTTCTTCTAAGTGAACAAATCGTGCACTGTGAATACCTTTGTCATTTGTAGAGGTGATTTGTATTTGCCCTCCATAATGCTCCTTTGGCATTGTGTATACTAAATTTGAAACGACAAAGGGAAGATTACATGGCGCCTTGTGCAAAGATGGTATGCAAATTTGGAGGGGCATGGAATTAACATTAATTAACCCTCCATAGACCCTCTTATATTTTAACTCTTTTAATTTTATAATATCTGGTTCTGTCTTGGGTCTAGTAATTATTCATCTTTTCTGTCTTGGATCTCATGATGATGATGAATAAACAGGAAAGTTATAGCATAGCTTCCTTTGCCTTTAATATAATGAGGTATTTTGTGCTGTTTCAGTATATTTGAGATACCCTATGCCATTGAACTACATTTATCCTGGGACTCAGTAGAGATTAGGTGGCCATTCTTGACTTTCTTGATGGCTTCTCTCTAGACACTGACACTTTGGATACTGAGTGTTAAGAGTTTCTATGCTTTTTGCCTTCATTCTTTTTTAATACCATTAAATGGTGGGAGCAGCTTTTTAAAACCTTGCATGAAAGATCCTTCCAGTGTAATATTGACGTGACCTTGTGATACTAACCCAGTGCACTTTACATTTACTGTCCAGGCAGAGGCTGGATTTGATGCGAGAGATGTATGACAGGGCAGGGGAGATGGCCTCCAGCACCCAAGATGAAAGTGAGACCACCATGACTGGCAGTGATCCATTTTATGATCGGTTCCATTGGTTCAAACTTGTGGGAAGGTATGTGATGATTTTATTCTTTTCAGGTAATGGTTTTAATTGTTTAAAGCCTCACAGGTATTACATAAAGTTAAAAAAAGTACACAAAAGCCCCCATTTATAATCATATTCTCTCACACATAGCCACTGTGCCATTTGGTATATTTCCCTTCCCTTTTATCCAGCTGGCAGGTTTAAGTCTCAGGATTGAAACAAAGTAGATGACAGTTTTCCCTGCCTCTCAACTCATTCACAAAATGTTTTACTCTTGACCAAGATAGATTTAAAAGAAAAAGAAAATCTGTGTCTGTATCCAGCATGGTTCAGAGTCACAGTATGGCATGCAGTTTATCAGACTACAACTTCTCCCTGACCTGATACGTCCTCACTTTAATTTTTAAAACAGTGCATCTCAGTTTAGTCTTTACCAAGAGTGAATAGCTGCACACCTGAGTAGCCCACTTGCACCTCTTTTATGTATACTTTAGTTTCAACATTGAATGTGAGTCCACATTGAGTCAAGTTCTTAGAGATTTGGAATTTTAAAAGCAGAGAAATGTCACCTTAATGATTTCAGAATTTGAATTATTTTCTGATTGAGAAAACTTTCTGACAGTTTTAAAGGAACTGGGTTCAAAGGTGGAGCTGAAGTCGTAGTATTTTGTAGAGATGACATTAGTGTTTTTCACTCTACTCTGATAGTAGAGTGTTGTTTTTTTTTAAAGAGATGAATTGGCCAGACACATCTTACCCAAGCAAGGTATATACCTACTTTGCCATATATCATTCATCCATTTTGTTTTCTGCTCCACAGTGACATGGAGATTGGAATAAGGATTTAAGCTTTATTATTTCACTTGATATTGAGTGGCTCCTTTGAGGCCTGGCTGCTAATCTTTTGTGTGAATGGGAGAACATAAATGTTTTACAGCACGTTATTTACCTGGCGTATTCTACTCATGTATTTCCTTTGCTTTTCTTATTCTAAGGATCAGTCCTTGTTCCCTTTCACCTGAACCAGATGATTTATGTTTATTTTATCCTTTTGCTTTTCCACTTGCTTATTTTGTTTTGGTTCCTCAGTGGGTTCTGTCCTTTTGGCACCTGTAGCTTCCTGTTTAACTGACTGTTCCTCTCTCCTTGGCTGTGTCCATCGGCGTGTCCCCTGGTGTCTAGCTCCCCCATTTTCCACGGCTGTGTGAATGAGCGCCTTGCTGACCGCACACCCTCCCCCACTTTTTCCACGGCCGATTCCGACATCACTGAGCTGGCTGACGAGCAGCAAGAGGAGATGGAGGACTTTGATGAGGAGGCGTTCGTGGATGACACCGGCTCTGACGCAGGGACGGAGGAGGGCTCAGATCTCTTCAGTGACGGGCACGACCCGTTTTACGACCGGTCCCCATGGTTCATTTTAGTGGGAAGGTTGGTGAGGTTAAAGTGAGAAAGGCGAAAAGGGACCAGCTCTTGCTCTAAAGAGGCTCCTTGTGCAATTTTGGACAATTTTGCTTTAATCTAGTTCAAAGTTCAATTCATGATGTGGGTGAGAGAGCCCTCAGGCAGCATCTGGGAGCTTCTTGGCTTCCTCAGTACAACATATGTGGCAGCATGTGAAGACTTTACATGGAGGATCCCTTGTCTTACATGCCTAGTAATTCTGTTCTGAAGGAGGAGACCCCAGAGGGGAAAGTAATTAAAGCCAAGAGTCACACTGTTCTGGAGTTGGAGAATGTTATTGTGGTCTGATATTTCCTCTTGTAGGAATGTGAGTGAAGAAGCCTAAGGGAGCAGCATGAGAGGGAGAACAGAGCAAGTCCATTGTTAGGAGGAAGGGATTCTTGGCATCAGCAGGAATCACAGGGACAAACATAGAGTCAGGAGTAGCATTAGGTTTATTTCTTGCATAGTCTGTGAGCCCAGAAAAGAATTAGGAATGTGAAATTCCCTCTTCGTCTAACTCAGATGGATACCTTTCTTTGGCAGTTTCATGGATCTTTGGTTTCTGCTAAGGTTTTACCTGTAGGCATTGTAATAATGAATCTCATAAAATTGTCTGTTGAAACGGTCAACAATGGATATTTGTTCAGTGCTCCATGACACTGCTTTGTGTTGAGTTTAGCTGCCAAACTGAGGCATTGTCTCTGGCCCCATCTGTCAGTGATGCAGAGCTCTCATGCACATGTTCCTCATACTGGGGTCTTTGTCTACACCCTTCCAGTCTTCATGCTGAAGTAATTTTAATTACAAATTCAACAGTGCAGCAGTCACTGGATTAAAAAAAGTATTATGTTTCGAGGTATTAAATTTAATTTCAGTAGTACTTTAAAACCATGTTTTGTTGAACCCTTTAAAAATAAAGGGAAATTACTTCAGTGTTAATGGGTTAGCACCAGTTATCTAAAAATAAACCTAAAGTGCAGCAAGTCTCCTGAACCCCCTAGGAATGTAAGGTTCTAAAGCTTAGCTCATAGTATGGTCTTGGTTGGTTACCTGGTGAGAATTAAATGTAGAAGAGAATTAAATGTAGAAGATAATCAGCTTTATGGAAAGGGAGAAAAGAAATGCTTTTTGATAGAAATGAAGACCTCAGTTATGACCATGGGTTGGAGTGTTAAGACAGCCTCACAGTTTTGTAATGGTAAAGGGGCATTTATTCAGGTTTTCCATGAATAAATGTAAAGGGATTTTACAGCCATGAATATTGTCTGGTGTATGCCGGGAACAGATGTTCAGGATTTCAGAGGAGCTGATTTATATTAAAACTGAGGAAGGCAGTTCTGTGCACGAGTCAAGGGGCCATCATGTGTTCCTGGTTTTACAGCCATCCCCACCCTCTTTTCTCAGAGGGTCCGAAGTTGGAACCAAGTTTTTGTCCGTAAACTGCCTAGTCCTGGTGCCGGTTGTGCAGCTCCTCACCTTCTCACACTGCTCACTTTTGTTCTGCGTCTTCACACGTGAGGAATAGGTGTCTTCACACTCTGTGGCGTGTTGGGAAGGACACTGACCTAACAGGGCTGACAACTTAAACTGAGGCCTGTTGGGTTCTCAAGTGTAAAATAGAGTTAGGTAAGAAAAAAACAAAAGAGCCTTATAGATCTTTTTATTCTTTCCTATTCTTTCATGCATACTAGAAGAGTGAATATTCTGGTTAAGAGTTCTACTCAGAAGCATTTGTATTTTGAGCCAGTTGTGTGGAAAACTTAAGTCAGAATCCCACTTAATGGGGAAATTCTCTGCCTTAAGTGTATGGATTTTCTCTCCCTTTAATCATACCAGATTGAAATGTAGGTATAAGGCAGTCAACTCTACTTCAGTTTTCTAATAAATTACTTGTGACCTATGGCTTAGGAATTGACTTTTCCATTTCTTTGAGTTCCCTGGTTCTGAAACTCACTTGACTTTGCAAGGAAAGCAGTACGGAGGAGGTGAAATCATAGTGGTCAGTAGAGCGAAGGCTGTCTCTTTATTTTCACCCTTGATGGCATTTCTTACCTACAGACAATTCATAGCAACACAGCATCACCCAGTTACATACCAGTCATTCTCTGTGTAAGAGGAGTAACTTCTTTGCTGTTTTTGTGATTCATGGGATTAGATTTTCCTTATTGACATATAATTGCTAATACAATTCACATAAAATTTTCTAGTTTTTAAAAAAAATTCCATTTGTAGGTTTTGATTCATGGCCTTGGCTACCTCTGGTGAATTTTTATATGAAAATTAAAAGAGCTTGTCCCTTTAGCTGTTCTCTTATGGCATGCTGGGATGTTATGAATCATCCATCATCACTTGGGATGAAATGTGAAGTATTTAAGCTAGGCTTCTGGTTAAAGGTCTCCTGTGTTATTCTGTGACCTAAATACCTGAACTGACATTCTTTCTGTAACTAGGATTGTAATTGCTCTGGTCTTCATTATCTTTGTGTTGACAGAATTTGTTTCCCTTTTTATGTAACCTCACAGAACTTTATGCTAATATATCCTTTACATCTTCCCCTCTCTCATCCCTCTTCTCTTTCAGTCTGCTAGATCAGGGTACAAGGATTCTCAAGAATGAATAATAACTATAAAAATTCCAGTTTTAAAAGCTTCGTAAGAGAACTTTTATAAAGTCCAAAGCATTGATTTTGGGTTGGAGAGCCTGGGTTCTCATAGGATGAAGAGCTGTCTAGAGACTGTGGGGTTGTATAGACACAGGGCCGATGCCCATACCACTGCCTTCGAATTCTAGAGTTCTCTCTCTGAAAAGCGAAATCCACAGAGATACTTTCTATTCTTACACTTTTGAAGTAGCCATTGCCATAGACAGAAAGGGGATTCTCATCTTTACTGTATGCTCAGATAGTACTTATTTCTTGGGACTTCCCTGGCGGTCTGGTGGTTAAGACTCTGAGCTTCCACTGCAGGGAGCCCAGGTTTGTTCCCTGGTCGGGGACTTAGGATCCCGCATGCTATGTGGCATAACCAAAAAGTTAAAATAATAATTTTTAAAGAAGGGTTCTAGTTTTTGAATAGCTACTTTTAAATATGAAAACAGCTGTATAAATTAAATATGGTTAAGAATCTAAACATGTCCTGTATAGTTAGTATCTGAGTATGACTTTGAAAAATCAACCCAATATAAAGTTGAATGGTTTTGCTTCTTACTTCTGGTTTAACCCATTTTTCTGGAAAAATCTTCCACTTCTACTTAAAGATAGAGAGCAAATCATTTTCCCATTCACTTATGTCCATAGATATTCAGTCATTCACCAGCTATTGTTTTAGTGCATTTATTCAATAAATCTAGCCAGGCCCTCTGCAGACAATGGCAAGTAAAACCAGACATGGTTCCTGCCTTCACGGGTTTTCCGTGTGGTGGGTGAGATGGACAGATGATTGCATAAGTAAATGGAAATCATAGCAGTGATGGAGTTGTGTGTTACTGAGATCATAAAACATTGGGGAGACCTGTCCTACGAGAGTAGTATTTGAAATAAGACCTGAAGATGTGAAATCAGAGGTTTGAAATGGGTAGTAGAGCTCAGAGAGAACGACAGACAGGGGTGGAGCATGCGCCATGGCTCTTTAATGGTCAAGGCATTGGAAGCGGGCAGTGGCTGGAATGCTGGCAGAAGATGAAGGTGGTCTGTATGTGTGCTGACTTTGAAAGTGAAATGATTCATTTAGTACCTTACACCAAATTCTTAGTCTTTAAACTCTATCATAGTAGTTTATGTTTGAGAGTCTTGTTTTTAATCCTTTTCAGACTTTTCATTTAAAGATTTTTGCATCACACAGCTTTTGGCCCTCTTTTTTAGCATTGCCCTCCCCCACCTTTGGAGCAGACTGAAAGGGAAGCAGATGTCGTTTGATCTGATTCCGTGTTCACTTGCAATTGTGGGTTTGTTTTTTTTTTTTTGGTTATACTTTCATTCATATTTCATTTATGCTCTTTTACTTTTATTAACATTTGTTTTCCTGTGGTGTATTTTGTCTGTTTTCATAATCGTTTTCATTTCTTTGAGTTGAAATCCCAAGAATCTACTCCATCTTCCTTTGCTTTGTTTTAAAGTAGATTCAGAGCAGGAAAAGGTGCAGACATGCATACAGGCATACCTCGGAGATATTGCTGGTTTGTTTCCATACTACCACAATGAAAGCAAATATTGCAGTAGCCAGTTGCATGCCTTTTTTGATTTCCCAGTGCATGTGAAAGTTATGTTTACATTACATTTGGTCTATTAAGTGTGCAAAGCATTGTGTCTAAAAAACAACATACATATTTTAATTTGGGCTTCCCAGGTGGCTTAGCAGTGTAGAACCCACCTTCCAGTGCAGGAGATGCAGGTTCAATCCCTGATCCAAGATTCCCTGGAAAAGGAAATGGTAACCTACTCCAGTGTTCTTGCCTGGGAAATCCCATGGACGGAGAAACCTGGCAGGCTACAGTCCATGGGGTTGCAAAAGAGTCGAACATAACTTACTAACTAGACAAGGATGACCTTAATTTAAAAATACCTTATTGCTTAAAAAAAAAAAAATTGCTAGCCATCATCTGAACCTTCAGTGAAGTAGACTCTGTGCTGGTGGAGGCTGCTGTTTGATAGCATTTTACCCGCTGTGTTGTTACTGTGGAACTTTCCAAATTGGAATCAGTCCATTCAAACCCTGCCCCTGCTTTATCAAGTATATTTATGTAGTATTTTAAATCCTTTGTTACCATTTCAAAAATCTTCCCAGTGTCTTCACTGGAAGTAGTTTCCATATCAGGAAGCCACTTTCTTTGCTCCTCCATAAGAAGCAACCCTTCACCCCATAAAGTTTTATGAGATGGTAGTTTAGTCACATCTTTAGACTCTTCTAATCCCTGTTCTCTTGCTGTTTCTACCCCATCTGCACTTAACTTCCTCCTTCGAAGTCTTGAATCCCTCAAAGTCATCCATGGGGGTTGAAATCAACTTCATCCAAACTAGTGTTAATACTGATACTTTGACTTCTTCCCATGAATCACAGATGTTCCTAATGGCATCTACAATGACATATCCTTTTCAGAGCCAACAAAGAAACCACTATCTATGACAGCTGTAGCCTTACAAAATGTGCTTCTTAAATAATAAGACTTGGAAGTCAAAATGACTTCTTGACCCATGGGCTGCAGAGTGTGTTTTGTGTTAACAGGCATGAAAACCTTAATCTCCATCAGGGCTCATTGATGACCAGGTGCATTGCCACTGAGTGGTAATATTTTGAAAGGACTCTTTCCCCCCTGTCCCTGAGCAATAGGTCTCAACAGTGGACTTAAAATATTCCATAAAGCATGTTGTGAAAAGATGTGCTGATCATCTAGACTTTGTTGTTTCATTTATAGAACACAGGCAGACTACATTTAGTGTAATTCTTAAGGGCCCTAGGATCTTCAGAATGGTAAGTGGGGATTGACTTCAGCTTCAAGTCACCAGTTGCATTAACCCCTAACGAGAGTCAGCCTGTCCTTTAAAGCTGTGCATTGACTTCCTTCTAGCTCTGAAAGTCTTAGATGTCATCTTCTTCCAATAGAAGGCTGTTTCATCTGCATTGAAAATCTGTTATTTAGTGTTTTTATTGTTGTTCAGTTGCTAAGTCATATCCAAATCTTTGCAACCCCCTGGACTACAGCATGCCAGGCTCCCCTGTCCTTCACTGTCTCCTGAAGTTGGCTCAGATTCATGTCCCTTGAGTCAGTGATGCTATCTAACCGTCTCATCTTCTGCCACCTCTGTTCTCCTTTTGCCTTCAATCTTTGCTAGCATCAGGGTCTTTTCCAGTGAGTCGGCTCTTCACATCAGGTGGCCAAAGTATTGGAGCTTCAACTTCAGCACTGTTCTTCCAATGAGTATTCAGGGTTGATTTCCTTTAAGATTGACTGGTTCAATTTCTTTACAGTTCAAGGGACTCTCAAGAGCCTTCTCCAGCCCCACAGTTCGAAAGCATCAATTTTTTGGTGCTCAGCCTTCTTTATGACCCAGCTGTACATGACTACTGGAAAAACCATAGCTTTGACTATACAGACCTTTGTCAGCAAAGTCGTGTACTCCTTTTTAATATGCTGTCTAGGTTGATCATAGCTTTTCTTCCACGGAGCAGGTGTCTTAATTTCAAGGCTGCAGTCACCATCCACAGTGATTTTGGAGCCCAAGAAAATAAAATCTGTCACTGCTTCCACTTTTTCCTCATCTGTTTGCTATGAAGTGATGGGACCAGATGCCACAATCTTAGTTTTTTTGAATGTTGAGTTTTAATCCAGCTTTTTTTTTTACTCTCCTCTTTCACCCTCATCAAGAAGCTCTTTAGTTTTTGTGTTAGTTACCTTTACCTTCATTAATTATCTCAGCTGGATCTTCTGGATGATTTGCTGCAACTCCTACATCAGTACTTCTGCTTCCTTTTGCACTTTTATGTTACGGAGACGACGTCTTTCCTTAAGCATCATGAACCAATCTCTGCTAGCTCCATACTTTTCTTCTGCAGCTTCCTCATCTCTCTTGGCCTTCATAGAATTAAAGGGAGAGGGCCTTGCTCTGAATTAGGCTTTGGCTTATGGCAGTTTTGTGGCTGCTTTGATCTTGTATCCAGACCACACAAACTTTATATCATCAATAAGGCCTTTTGACTGTCTTATATCATTTGTGTATTCACTGGAGTAGCATTTTTAATTTCCTTCAAGAACTTTTCCTTTGCATTCACCGCTTCGCTGACTGACACACAAAGCCTAGCTTTAAAGCTGTCTCAGCTTTCAGCTTGCCTTCCTCGCTAAGCTTAATCATTTCTACCTTTTTATTTCAGATGAGAGACATGAGACTCTTCCTTTCACTTAAACACTTAGAGGCCATTGTAGGGTTATTACTTGTCCTGATTTCAATATTGTTGTGTGTCAAGGAATGGGAGGGGAGGGCTCAAGTAAAGGAAGAGAGACAGGGGAATGACGTGTTGGTGGAGTAGTCAGAGCACACATTTACCAAGTAAGTTCACTGTCTTGTATAGGTGTGGTTTGTGGCATCTCAAAACAATTACAGTAATAACATCAAAGATCACAGATCACCATAAAAAATACAGTGATAATGAAAAACTTTGAAATATTATGAGAATTACCGAAATGTGACAGAGAGTCATGGAATAAGCAGATGTTGTTGGGAAAATGGTGCTTTGCTGGAGACATGGTTGCCACAAACCTACTTAAAAAAAATGCAATATCTGCACAGTGCAAAACAGTGGAGCACAATAAAACGAGGTATGCCTGTATGTGTCACATTGGGTTACGTTTGATTTCTTGATGTAAATGTTTACCTTTTGTCTTGTCTCGTGTCCAAGGATCAGCATATACCATGTGGGAAGATAGGAGCAACAGTAGGAACTAAGTTCTGTTTCCCATCCACTAATTGGAATAAACACCCAAACTTTGTGATCACCAGTTTGTATTGCTTAAAGAAAAAAATCAAAAGCCACAAAATTATGAAAGAAGATAAAAAGAGAACCAATGTGATACAACTTTGCTAGTTCGTCTGAAGTAGAAAATGTTAGGTCTTATTTTGTGTGTCTGATTTCTGAGTAAGGTTTTGGGCTCTAGAAGCAAAAGCCACCCTTTGCGGATCAGTGTCTCCTTCCTTAGCATTTTTGTTGATGTCCATCCTGAGTCTCTTATAAGCTCACTAACAGATATTTCTGGCTTCATAGCCTTTCTGCCCATATGTGTCAGTCACCTTGTCTAAATATCATAGTCATTTCTTAGGGTAAAAATAAAGACCCAAAGTGTTGTGACTTGAAATCTGTTTTAGAGTTATTAGTTGTATTTCAGTCACATTTCTCTGGCCTTTTTTTTTTTGGTCTCCTGATTTCTGTTTTATCTATTGGGAAAAACAAAACAAAACCTCTTTATATAGTTACATGAAAAGATTGAACTCCTTAATGGGCTCCCTTTTCCCCAGCCTTAGCAGTATTCATATCTTAGAAGTCTACTTCCAACTGTTACTCCTCTACCTGTCGTAGTAATTTTATAGGGAGTAATCACAAGCATTTGCATTTGTTTATTTGTTATTTGTGCTGAAAAAGCATCCGGAGACAGTCTGAGAGTATGAAGCAGAGTGGCAGCATTGAGACAGGGCCCAGAAGCCAGCTCACAGTTTTGTGAAGGTGTTCTCGGTGAATCTGAAGGCCAGCCTGTCTGTCTGTGGGATGCTCGGACGCCTGTCTGTCTGTGGGATGCTCAGACGCCTGTCTCCTGGTTTCTGTCTCTAGGGCCTTTGTTTACCTGAGCAACCTGCTATACCCCGTGCCCCTGATTCACAGGGTGGCCATTGTCAGCGAGAAGGGAGAAGTGCGCGGGTTTCTGCGTGTGGCTGTGCAGGCCATTGCAGGTAGGTGCCCCTCTTCTGAAGTGAAAGCTGTGGGTTCTTTGCCTTGAGACAAAGCAGGCCAGTTCCGTATGTGCCACGTTTCAGCCACCCACTTCAGAACAAACTGTGGTGCATCTGACTGTCTCAGAGAGCCTTTACTGCTTCCTTTCAGTCTAACGCTCTCCCAACTGAGCTATTTCGGCTACCTTACTGCTTCCTTTCACAACCCACAGGTAGATCCTGTTTGGTTTGTAGTAGAGCCTACTGCTATTTTTGAATAATGGGGTGAAGGGGTTTCCTTTACCATGAGGGACAACTCTTGGATTAACTTTATAAAAGTCATTTGCATTTTAAATCATGGATCTTAACTGCTCCAGAAGTAACAAGATTTTCAGACATTTTCTTGGCTACTTTTCTCTCAGGATACAGCTAGACATTTTGTGCTTTGGCTGCAGTTTTGTAATGCGTGGATCAAGATTTTGATACTTTACACTTTTCCAAGATCCAGCCTACCTTATGAGGAAAGAATGTGGCTGTTCCCTGTTAACTTTTCTGTTTTAATTTCCAAATGCTGTGCTGTATTTAATGACCTTTCAGCTTTTCCCCATGGAAATGTGTGACAGTCACCAATGTTGACTTTATGGTGGTCTCCACAAGTTCAGTCTAGTATTTTCAAATATTTGTTGAGTATTGTTGAATATAGTCTCACCAAGGAAAGGGAACAGTATTTCTAAGTATGATATTTGAGCAGTATCAAGAATCAAACTGATTCTTTATTAACTAGTTTGATTTGAGCAAGGAGAGGGATATGTTTCCCTGAGTGGAGGTGGAAACCCTATTTGATCTTACTGCTTTGGTCTCATTCTTTCTCATGCAAAAGACTTGTTCTTTAGTATCTCCTCTTATATTAAATTTTTGGGACCTTAAGTTTCTACTGCTTTCCAGTTTATTTTGTAATCCAGTGAGTCATTTTCCCTCGGCCCCATATGTCGTCTCATCCTTGCTTTATTTTTTCCTGTCTAGCGGATGAAGAAGCTCCTGATTATGGCTCTGGAATTCGACAGTCAGGAACAGCTAAAATATCGTTTGATAATGAGTACTTCAGTCAGGTGAGGAATCTTCCAGAAAGAGAAAAGCCTTGCGGAAGGAGAAAGAAGTAGACACATTTGTTAGGAGGATGGATGTTCAGCACTGGAGGGAAGTTCTCCCTAGAATTAAAAAGTGTAGGTAGCCGCAGGCTTGTTTAATACAACATAGGATGTGTCCGACAGTTCCCAAGGCAAGGGTGAAGGCCCAACATTTATACTGTGTGGTATCACCTTTTCACAGGCAGTCCGTAATCCACGTAACTTTTCAGTCATGATTATTTGTGGGGCACATAAACAGACGTAAAAGAAACATGGGGAAAATATGTCGTCACACTACTTATCATCTACTCATGCTGCCTTGTTTTCAGAGTGACATTTCTTCGGTTGCATTGACCCGTTCTGGTCTGTCCTTGGAGGAGCTGAGGATTGTGGAAGGACAGGGTCAGAGTTCTGAGGTCATCACTCCTCCAGAAGAAGTCAACCGAATGAATGACCTGGGTGTGTAATCAGAGTGCTGTGACTGGGGGTACTTTCAAAGAGGGGAAAACACTGACCATTGTCAAGGACGATCACTACTTTTATCAACTAGTGATGGAAGGATACACTCTCCTCTCTGAAAGGTGCTTTGTCATTATTTGAACCGTACCTGTGTTCATTTGACCTGCTTTAGATCTGAAATCAAGCACTTTGCTGGATGGTAAGATGATGATGGAGGGGTTTTCTGAAGAGATCGGCAACCACCTAAAGCTGGGCAGTGCGTTCACTTTCCGGGTCACAGTGCTGCAGGCCAGTGGAATCCTCCCAGAGTATGCAGACATCTTCTGTCAGTTCAAGTAAGCCCCACTTTCCTCTGCCTCCCTAGCCATTAACCCGGGTGATGACTTTTGTGCACTATAAAGTGCTCTTAGACGTGCCAGATTGTACACTCTCAAGAGAGAAATGACTCCCAGACCCTGAAATAAAATACTTTCTTTACTCTGGATGGGAGTAGGAAGTGGAAATGGGCAATGGAATGAAACAGAGTTCATAGTTGGAAGGAGTGCGGCCACACATCCTGCTAGAGGTTCAGTTGTGGACTACCCCTCTCTGCCAGGAGTATAGGGTCAGATCCAGTTAAGCTTACTCATCAGCTTTTTTAATGTTCTTCATGCCAAAATGTCTTGTTAATAAACAAGTCTGAAATCAATGAGTTATCCAACTGCCAATTATGCCTGTTTAATGCTTGGGAAAGGCAAAATGTATGTTGTTTAAAGAACAGCAAAATTCTATACCCATTGAAAGAAAGCTAGTAAGTATGTAGAGAAGAAGTGACAGGTTTCATATCTCATCTGTTTAATAAGCATTTTCTATCCTGTAACCCTCGGAGCTCTGTGCTCTAGCTACTTTTGTCTCAAGACTTCCAAAAACATTTTTTTGGAGAATCTTAAGTATTAATACTCCCAACATAAATATATCTTTTGAGTACTTGGAAAAGGCCACAGTATAAGAGAAGGAAGTCTGAACTGCCCCATTCCTAAAGCCCACGGTTTGCTGTTGGTGCCACCAAAAGGCTGCTTTAGGTTTCTGCCCTTCCTTTCCCCTCGGTGTGTGCCTTATCCTTTCTGGAGGCCTCATGCAGCTTCACTTTCTATGTAGTTGTCAGCCAAATCCTCAATTAAATGTGGTTATTACGTAGTAAGCTGCTAATGTCGTTTGCTAAAACTTAACAATTGATGGAATATTATCCATCCAGTGTAGATTTGCACATTTAATGTGTTTTCACTAAGTCTCCATTAGTAGCTGATGTATTTTATGGAAAAGACCTGCTTGGCCCGCTGACATCTGAAATGGCAAGAATGGTCATTAACTTCTGTCCCAAAGTCTCCTGAAAAGAGAGTAGCATCTCCACCTGGTGTAAGCACTGGAGGAAAGGGCATGTTGACTCATGTTGAAAGAAGACTCAGATTCTTCTGGGGTTTTTATAAACTCTCATCTGGCCTACATTGGGAAGACACAGCTGTAGAGCCCAGTCAGTGGCCTCATGTGTTACCTATGTGGAACCCCGGGATATTGGTATCTGCTCCAAGGAGAGCCTTCGAGGAGTGCAGGGCAGAGGCCAGCTGATGCTCATGCAGCCTCTGGCAGGTACACCATGTGGTCTGGAAAGGAAGAAATTGGAAGAAAAAGAAAGGAGTGAAAAGTAAAAGAGAGGGAGAGAGGTAAGGAGAAATGAGAAGAAAGAAAATAGGCAAGAGTATGCATAGTTTGGAAAGATGCAGTGCCACAGTGGTACGTGATTTGATTACCTGGCAAAAGTTCACCATGGTCTTCAGGCTGAGAGAATTATGGTTGACCCTTAAACAACTCAGGAGTTACGGGCATTGACCCTCCTCCACAAAGTCTGAAACCCAAGTGTATATCCAGGGTTCCTCTGTATCCACAGTTCCACATCTAAAGATTCAACCAACTGTGGATCATGCAAAACCATAGAATTTACTATTAAAAAAAATCCACATATAAGTGGACCCATACAGTCCAGACCCAGAACACCAGTGGTGTTCAAGGGTCAATTGTAATGTGGAAGACCAGGAGTTCATGGAAGACCTGGTCTCTCTGCCCCCTGTTTTTCCCTTTCTTCTTGTAGGAGTGTGGGGTATTCTTCTAGTGGATATTTCTGTCTAGCAGTACATCTTTGAATTGTGTATTCTGTAATTCTCCACTTTTTATTCCAGACTAATATTAGGGAGACAGAACAATAAAATCTCATTATTTATGAGAATAAGTAAACATAGCCCAGTGACTCAGCAAACATTTCAGGAGTATTTTCTATATTTCAAGCTCCGTGGGAGACACACACTCTTGGGGAAATAGGCAAATAAATACATTATGGCAAACAATGGTATCATTGCTATTGAAGAAAAATAGGTCCCTGTTGCTATGTGAATGTAGAACTGTTTGAGTGAGTCAGGGAAGTCTCCCTGGAAGAGGTGACATTTGAATCTACTCCTTGCTGGTCTTAGAGAGGCTCCCAGCAGGTGTGTCATCCACAGGCTTTAATGCTGCCTTATAGAAGCTTCAATCTTCCAAATCTTTTCCATACAAAATGATTTCAGTTTTTATTTTCAGTAAAAAACTTCTACATTGGAATGAGAGGTCACTGAATTCACTCTTCATGTGTCTTCATAGCTAAGTGGTATGTGCTCAGTTGCTTCAGTCATGTCCGACTCTTTGAGACCCCATGGACCGTAGGTTTCCAGGCTCCTCTGTCCATGGAATCCTCCAGGCGATAATACTGAAGTGGATAGCCATTTGCTTCTTCGCTACCCAGGGGATCTTCCCTATGCAGGGATCAAACCCATGTCTCCTGCATTTCCTGCACTTCAGGTAGATTGTTTACCGCTGAGCTATCAGGGAAGCCCCAGCTTAAGTGGTAGGGTTAGTTATTTTTCAGTCAGTTTTGAAATAAAATCTAAAATGCTATCTGTGTGATATGGAACATATCCTCTACAGGGCAATGCAAATAACTTGTCTCAGTTAAAAACTCTGCATAAGATGCTTCTTTCCATGGGATCCAAGATAATCCTGATGAAGCCATTTAAAGCGAGATTAATGTGGGTTTTTGTCTTTTTCGCTCTCTTAAGCTTTTTACATCGGCATGATGAAGCATTCTCCACTGAACCCCTCAAGAACAATGGCAGAGGAAGTCCTCTGGGCTTTTACCATGTACAGAATGTAAGTCACATGGACATTTTTTGCCAGGTGTATTACAGGTTGGTGGTACCCTGAAGCAGCTGGTGTGAGGCAGGCGTCATGTATGGGTTCCCTTTGGCTTTTTCAGCTGAAGAAGGATGATAATCTGAGCTGCTATGCAGGGGGAGCTCTATGGCAAGAGCGGACAGTGGAGGGAGCAGCCAGGGTCCGGAGCTCATCCTCAGTGGACAGAGCAGCCAGCATCTTCTCTGAGTGACAGTGGGCCTGTGCGTAGCACGGGGGGTTGGTCTGCCAGTAAATTCTTTGTCATTGAATTGTGAGTTGTTTTAGTGTTTCCGTCCTAGAAAAATAAGCATATTTAATATGAGTTTTGTTAAAATTAATATGTTCTTTAAACCGTAAGAGACAACACTGTTCAGATACAAATGATGTAGAAACTATGAAATTCTTTTGTAGCTAAACTAAGCTTCAGAATCTTTTTTCCTTTCAGCTTATTTGATGATTAAGCCTTTAATGCCCCTTACAACTCTCCCATAAATGGAGTAAGAGAACAGACCCTCCATCTCTTCTAGAAAGATTTACTTAACCCCATTCAAAAGTCTTCATGCTCATCACAAGAGCTAACATTCACTGAGAGCTTATGTTGTGTCAGTCATTGTTAGAGGTGCTTTTTCTGTCTTAATTGATTTAATCCTTTCTTTTATGCCACATACTGTCATAATCCTCATATTATAGTTGAGATAACTGAGGCACAGAGCAGTTGAAGTCACTCACCAAGGTTACAAAGCTAGGAGGAGGCAGAGGTGGGATTGAACCCAGGGAAATGTGACTCTAGCATCCAGGATCTTCACAGCTGTACAGGAAACAGTCTCATTCTCTTGCTAACCATAGTCCACTCTCTAAAATACAGAAGGGGGAAAAAAAATAAAATACAAAAGGGGGACTCCCTTGTGGTCTAGTGGTTAAGACTCCACTTCCACTGCAGGGGAAATGATCCCTGGTCCAGGAACTAAGATCCCACATGCTGTGCAACTTGGCCAAAAAATAAAAATAAAGAAGAAAGGACAACTGCAAAAATGGAACAAGCAAACACAAAACACAGTTTTCTTTTTTATGTTTAATTGTATAAACATGAGCATGCCTGTATATGATCAATATTGATTGTCTCCTGTGTACAAGGACCATGCCTGATGCCACTGTGTGGGGGTCTGGGGGACATTTAGATGAATCACAGGGGATTATGCCTCCAAAGAGTTTAGAATCATGATAGGAAAAATAAAATGCGTGTTTATTTTATGTGAAATTTATAAAAATAGTAGTACAACTTATAGAGATATTAGAAAGGTATTCTTGAAATGCAGTGGGAATGGGAGAAGGGAGAATTATTTCTACTAATGGAAAAAGAATTTTATGTTACATTCTTTGTTGAGGGTGGATGGTTGGATGGAAAAAGAAGGTTGGGGAGCTTCCTGAAGGCTGTAGTGTAAATAAGAAAAGGTGGGTCACTCTTGGCCTTGTGCCTGACACATAGTCAGCAGTCCTAGTTTTCATATCATTGTTGCTGTTTGATCTGGGCCTTGAAATACAGGAATAACAGAGAGACAGAGAAGTGGGAAGGCCTCCTGGGTAGGGCTGCCGTCTGGGCCCGCCCTCAAAGTGGAGGAGAGAACAGGCGAAGGGAGCAGCTGATGGAGTCCTCATACTGACTAAAGGACGCAGAGGGGCTGGAGGTCAGTTAGGGTAGGTGGTGGAGGGTCTTGAACGCCTGGAGCTTGGTCAAGTTGCTGTAGAAGGAAAACCAGAGAAGAGCCCGTCTCTGGTGTGAGAGGCCTGCAGAGTAAAATACCCAGCATACCCAGGTACTGAAAAGTGCCTAAGTGCTGTTTGCTGCAGACATGTGCATTTTTCTATAAAAAATCTTTCCCTAATCGAGCTTGGCCCTACTCCTTATTAGATTGCAGTGGAGGTTACGGAATCATTCGTGGACTATATCAAAACCAAGCCGATTGTGTTTGAAGTCTTTGGGCATTATCAGCAGCACCCACTTCACCTGCAAGGACAGGAACTTCACAGGTTTGGACCAAATGAGCAAAGATTTTTGTTGTTGATACTGTTGTTGTTATTGTCACTTGCTGGAAAGGAAGAAGTCTTTTGAGGGATTAAGATGGGTAAGTGATAGTTTTATATATTGTCCTACGTTTCCGTTTTAGAAATGTCACCATCTTTCTTCTAAGCCACCCAGTCACTAATTGTAGGAGGAGCAAATTGAGTTTTGCCCAGGGGGCCTTGAGTACCATCTTCTTGTAGAAAGAGACTTTGAATAGGATAAAGTTGAGGTAATCGAGATATAACTTGGAAATTATGTATAATTATTCCTAATCACCTAGAACTGCATGGAGCATAGAGTCACTGTGAAACGTGTGTCTGAGTGGATACACCAGAATGAGTGAGGAGAGCATGATGGGGACTCTGGGATGATGGCAGAGTGTCAGTGTTAACAGGAAATTTTTCTTATTCATTAGGTAAGATTTAACAAGGGGACTTCTATTAAAATGTCTTAGCCTCAGTTTTACTGTGTGGGAATATATCTGATATCTGATAATGTGCTAGTGTTGAAAGTACAGATGATCTACTTCTAAAGGGGATTTAAACATGCCATTAGTATTATCATAGAGGTCTTTTTAGTCTTAAAGAACTTTCATTTTCCTTTGCAGTCCACCCCAGCCGTCTCGACGATTCTTCCCTCCACCCATGCCGCTATCCAAGCCAGGTGAGTGCCAGCTGGGTTCTTTATATGCTGTACAGCTCTAATTCTGCATGACTTTTCAGGTAAAAAGTCATATTCAAATTCCTGCTCAACTTCTGTGCATCCCGATGTTCCAGTATCTAGCAGGACCTAGAATTGTTGGTGAGAAGCTCTAGGGCTCTATCCAGTCTGATGCTCTGGTCTTCTTGTTGCAGATTTTGATAAACTCCCTGCTCCTCAGTCTCTCTGCTCTGTGTGTAACCCCTTTAACTTCAGTGGTGGGCATTTTTTTGCATGTTACATTTGTTCTGCATGTTCATGTATCTTGTTTTGACTTTTCTTTGTTTATTTTCGTCCTTTTTCCTCATTGCCCACTTGCCACATTCCCCCCCACCCCATGCTCATTCTCCATCTCTGTGCGCCTTACCTCCATCCTGCCTTCAGACCATGAGAGAAAGATTGAGCTGATCCGATTTCTCATATCTGACTATGTGAATGTGCATGTGTTGGACACATTTTCTGAGCATGCCAACGTGCTTGCCTCCTCCGCCATTGCCACCTTCCAGGATGGGGCTGACCCATCACCGCCTTTTCTCTTTCTGCCAGTTCCCAGCTGCCAGCCCAAGAGGGTACCTAAACGAGATGGTTAGTAGCTAAATTAGCTCTGCCTTAGATGTAGAACCATCCTCAGGGGCCAGTCCCAAAGTCTGGCTTTCTGTGTAGGAACCACGGATGTTTCTGTTTGCTACTTGACCTGAGTGTAGAGTTCACCACATTGTCAAGGTCATGTCACATTTCCTTCAGAGAGATTTTTAGGAAGCACCTTCTCTGTTTATGCCCTTTTCACATCATGGGGTGGGGGGGCTCCTTAGGTTTATTGGTTTGGATTCTTTGTAGTGGTATTATTAATTCAAAGGATTTTTTAATAGTAGATGGCTTTAAAAAAAATGCTTCTGGTTTTGCTTTCTGACTCTTAGATGCACATCAGTAACCCCCTGTTACCTTCTTGAGTAGCATCATCAACAACTTACCTGGAATTCAGCTAGGGTGAATAATGCCGACAGGCCATGCTTAGTGCTGCAAGAGTCATAAAGCCCCTTTTAGATTCATTGCATCAGTGGTTTCTCACAATATCTCTTTAGATAGTAAGCTAATATTATGATCTTTATCTTAAAGGTGAGGAGACAGACTTCCAGTGTTAAGTGACTCAACCAGAATTTCAAAGCTAGTTAGTGGTCAAGTGATAATTAGATTCCAGGTCCCTGGATCCTCACACCACTACTCCCAGATTCAGAGCAGAGAACCCTCTTCAAATTGCCAAGATTTCAGGATTTCTATGTAGTGTTTCAAAATGCCCGTCTTATAGAATCTGACATTCTTGGAAGTACTAGGGTTTTGGTTAATGTATTTCATCAGTACAGATAAGGACATGGAATTTACATTTGAAGAAAATGGGAACAGATCATTTACAGAATCCTGTGTCTACAGGTTAGATCTGTGGTTCCCAGACTTGTCCATACACTGGAATCACGTGGGGGGCTTCAAACCTCTCAGAGGACTGAGCCTCATCCCTGAAGATTGTTCTTTAATTGGCCTGCGGGATGGCCTCATTCGTCTTTGAGATCCCCAGGTGATGCTCATGTGCAGGAGGTTCAGGAACCACTGGGTTAGGGGACAGGTGCTCTCTACACACACCACACACAGTGAGACCCTCCCCACATTGTCTCTCCCATGTTGTTATGTGCTCTGCATGCTGCAAGTGTGAGAGCCTCAGGAAGGTTTTTTTTAATGGCTTCGTGAGCACATTTATGCTGCATGAAACCTGTGTTCTCATCATTGGATATTTTGTTGGGAGGGAGAGAGGGAGAAAGATGCTGACCCTCCGTTTTCCTTGTTCCCTGAAGTTAGAGGTACACGTAGAGTTGGTGAAGTGTCTCTGGGTCTCCTGCACTGAAATCTGTCCCCTGATTCTTACTGCCTTTGCCAAGTGTGTCCTTGAAAACTAACATTATAGAAGCTTGTATCTTTGCTGAGTAGACTTGGACCACATGTTAACATTTTCCAAAAACTTTTAAAAGTTCCAGCTACCAAGTTAAATACCATGAGCAAAACCAGCCTTGGCCAGAGCATGAGCAAGTATGATCTTCTGGTTTGGTTTGAGATCAGTGAACTGGAGCCTACGGGAGAGTAAGTCCACTTTATATATTTTTAAATATGACAATTTTGCAAAATTAAAAAATGTAATTTTTAATCTCTTTGTCTTCAGGTTCACAAAATACCACATTCTAGTTTTGAACTGAATTTTAGGGGTGTTTATTCTTTGAATCAGATGTTTGTCAGAGAACTACCTAGTATTATAATTTACTTTTTAAAAAACTGTTTTCTCATTTATTTCCTCATAGAACATACCATATTCTTATTCAAATGAGAAAATCTAGGCTCAGGGATATTAAATAATATGACCAAGGAAGCAGTAGGGTGGGGTTTGAACTCAGGACTGTCAGCTTCTTTAGGACATCTTCATTTATTTCCACATTTTGTAACAGTGAACAATACTTACTGAGTAATTTACCTTATTGTTAGCAGGAGCATGGAGTCTGGCACTTTGTTAAGAGAGAAAACAACCTACATACTGGGTTTTATCAGCAAACAAGCAAAGGGAGTCGGGAGCATATTGTGCACAATGGAGCCAGAGACTTATATCCACATCTCAGGGGCTTAGGGGACAGAATATTTCCATAGACCAGGGTTTTTAAACCTCTGCACTGTTTGGGGGTGGATGATTCCCTGTGGTCGGGGGTTGTCCTACATGTTATAGGTATTTAACTGCATCCCTGGCCTCTACCCATAAAGTGCCAGTAGCTCCTCCCCTCCAATTGTGACAATAGACATTGTCAGATATCCCATGGGGGCAGAATCACCCCCAGTTAAGGACTTTTGGCTCCAGTCAAAATAATCAGCATCGGCTTACTCTGAGCTGTGTTAGACTCGGTGGCAAATGTAATCACTGTTTATACTTGTCTCGGAAATGCTTTTGAAAAACACAAAAGAGATCCCTTTCCTGAAACAGAGGGAAGAGGCTATATCAGTTAAAGGATAGGGGATAAATGTTATTTTAACGATCCTCTGCTAATCATGCTGGGTACCACCATCACAGTTACCTCCAGGAAACATTTATTGAGTTGCTGCTGTGTGTGAGGTTTGGCTCTATTGATCCTGCAGTAGTCGTCAGTAGTGACATTACTTTAAGAAATTTGACTTTCTGTAGACAGATCATAATGTGATTATAACTTGCATTATGATGGTGAAGAAGTTACAGTAAATGGTTTCCACTGAGTTAATTGCTTTCTGATTCTTAAAGATCTGAAATTATCTCTTCCTTATCTCCTGACACTTGCCATGGCAATAATACATTTATAGAATATCTGTTAGACAGGGAGCTGGGATGGAGCCAAAAGGTGTTACTGCCATTTGAACACTTCAGTCTAATAAGGATGATGAGACATGGATACAGAGAAAGTTTTACTAAATGCAAATGACTGTGCGATTATATGTCCACTCCAGATGACAAGAAGGATGTGGGATCAGAGTTTAGGAAAACAGAAACCACTGAGGGGTAGCACAACCAGGGAGGACCTTGCAGGTGAAGTTGCAATTAGTTATTAGCACAAGCATCCATCTAACCTCTTTCTTTCGTATTTCTTTTTTTACAGGTATATCCCAGCCGTGGTGGACCATACAGCAGGCTTGCCCTGCCAGGGGACATTTTTGCTTCACCAGGTACTAACGAAGGAGCCAAAAACGGCCTAGAAAGGAACACCAAAAAGAGTTAGAATAAGAAACAGCCCTCTGTTTCTCTGCCTTTTTATCTGCATTTGAAGGGAATTTGGAGGTTGGGAGACTTTGCTCTATCCTTAAAGTTTCTCAAACCTTGGCTTTTGTGTATAAATACACATATTAAAAGAGCTATTTTGAAAGAATTTGTTTAATTCAGTTATTAGAATGTATGCAGCTCCTCTGTGGTTTTATGCCATTTTCACTCTGTGATGTTAAGAAACTCTGCTTTCACAGCCGGAAGGTTTTAATGGAGATAGAGAAGTAAGGTTTCAGTGGACTGAAAATCTAGCCGTGAAATGCAAGTCCCTCTTTGGCAAATGGAAAGTAGTTTTAATCAGTGCTCAGAAGTCTTGTGAACCAGATGGGCATACTCTGGGACTTACAGTCTGGGCATTGGTTCTTGAAGCTGTATCAGCACTTGGCTCTTCCTCAGTCCCTCACCTGTGTCCCTTGGTTCAGAATAACAGTGTGGACAGCACTTCCCATCTCTCTCCATACCTCCCCTTCTTGCCACCCCCACACCAGACAATCTAGCAAAGGGCAAACAAGAGGAAATAAGAGGTGGCCCCAGCTAAATTGCAACCCTGCTCCATTACCTAGGGCATCCAGCGGAGGATCACAGTGACCATCATCCATGAGAAGGGGAGTGAGCTCCACTGGAAGGATGTCCGTGAGCTGGTGGTAGGTGAGTACGTTTCTTCAGATGAGGATGGAGCCAGGCTTTTTTAGAGATGTGATTGGTCCCTGTCTGGAGCATAGGGAGCATGTGGAAGACTGCACTGGAAAACATGACCATCAGAAGAGAGACTGAGTTCAAAAGTACTCTTGTTTCCCAGCTCCCTTCATAGGTTATGCAATTGCCATTATTTTTCTCAAGGACTGTGGGAGTGGTTCTGTGCCAGAGGCCCTGAGAAGGCCCCAGAGAAGCCTCTGCTCCTTGTGCATTTGTGATCTAGTGAGGAGTAGCGTGTGTATGTGTCCAGAGCTGTTTGAGGACTGAGTACCAAATGAGGACAACTGAAACAGACCTGTGCTAGGAGAGTGGACAACAAAAAAGATCCAAGAGAACTGGGTTAGCTGGTAGGAGATGCTCTGAGTATATTAGAGAGAAATTGGAGGGTTTTGTTTGTTTTCTTGCAAGCATTTGGAGTTAGAGTCAGGAATGTCTAATGAGCAAATGGCTAGAAACCTATGGCCAGAGAGAAGAGACTGAATTGAGGTGAGAGGAAAAGATTGAACCAACAGCATCAGCTGTAGACTGAGAGGTTAAGGCAGGGGCCTGAACCTGTTTTTACTGTGGACCCATTTGGCAGAAGTGAAGCCTCAGAATTATGTTTTTAAATGTAGAAAACAAAGTACTTGGGATTACTAAGGGAATGAATAATATTGAAATACAGTTGTTAAAATACTAAACAAATTTGTAACATAAGCTCTCTATTGATGTGTTAAATAAGCAGAGGGTCTAATCTGTATCATTTCAAAGTGGTAATGAGGGTCATATAGTTGGCATCAGTGTGATACGGAAACATCTCTGATTTCTGCCTGGGACAAAGGTCTAAGTACTGCTTGGTCTACTGTGGTTTGTGCCCTCCCCTCGTAATTGAAGGAAAAGCCCGTTTCCTTCAGAAGAGGCTCCTGAAAATAAAGTTGTGATTTTTTTCTCATGCAGTTTAGCCCTTCTGAATTTTATGCATAAACCTCTTGGGTACCTGCAGACCAAATGAGGGACCTCTGGAAGGATGGTTATTACTCTGTCCTATGCAGGACAGTGATTTTCAAGCTTTTCAAAATTAATTTTTACACACAAAAAAAGAGAGATGCTTTCTGACCAGAATGGGTGGTGAGCAGAGGCAGCAGGTATTAAGGCTTTTCTGAAACCCTATGGCTTATTACTTTTTTTAAACAAGCATGAAATATGGCAGGTGCTTTCCTGAATGCTCTAAAAATGTTAGTTCACATAATATAACATAACATATAATATGATCATAAAAATCTTTAAAGGGAGGAATTGTTTTTCCCACTTGGCAGGTGAGGAAAGTGAGGCTCAAAGAGGTTGAGCATATGCCCAGGCCTCACAGACAGTTAGTGTCGGAGCTGAGATTTGAACCCAGGCAGTTCTGCTCCAGAGACTGTGTTCTGAAACTCTGTGCACTGCTGCATACCCTAGTCTTAGTATTTGAAAACAGAATTGTCAAATGTTAAATAAGAAAGTGGTATGATGAAGGCAGTGGCTTAAGAACATTATAGAAGCTGAGTGTGGGGTGGATTGATCAGGAGAGCCATGAGAGCAGCTGGGAGACCAGTTAAATGACTGTTGCTTGTCTCTGATTAGAAGGGGATGACCTTCCCCTGATGAGCAGGGCAGTGATGTTGGAAATAAAAGTCGAGATGAATATGAGAAGCTCTTTGAACAATGAATAAATATTCACAGTTAACTGAATGTGAGATGTAAGGGAGCCAGAATATGGAGAAGAATGGAAGACTGAGAATTCCCAGATTAGACTTGGAAACTACAGTTAACCAAATGACTCTTCTGGCACCTGAAATTACACAGCGGTCTGACAGTCTCGTTTGGCTTAATGGATCACTGTTCTGTTGTTAAATGTCCCCGTGTCCTGGTCTCTTTCTCGTCTCTCTCAGGCCGCATCAGGAATAAGGCCGAGGTGGATGAAGCCGCAGTGGACGCCATCCTCTCCCTCAATATCATCTCTGCCAAGTACCTGAAGTCGTCCCACAACTCTAGCAGGTGGGCCACTGCGGCGAGTGACGAGTCAGCCCTGGGGGCTGATGACTTCACCACTAGCTTCTTCATCATTAATGACCCCCCACCTTCTCACTTAAACGCCCTGTTTCCTTCTCTGCCTATCTTCTTCTTCAGAAATAAATAACATAAATCATTGGAGATACTCATATAATATGTTACCCCCAGAGAATGAAAATGTTTTTTCCTTTGGGGAGTTTGAATGTTGTAGCACAATGTTAGAGAAAAAGCTGTAGCTGTAGTGCAATGATAGAGAAAAAGGAGAAGAAAACTCAGCATGCCACCCAAGGGTTTACATGTAGATTAACTATGGCTAAGACTAAATGTCTTCCTATAAAGTGATTGCTGGAGAAAGACCTCTGTGTCTCGGCCTTGGGTATCATGGAAACCTGCTCTCCAAGGTGTAGTGAACTCTCTTGTGTTCATCTTTGCTGCTGCCAGTGTTGGCTCAAGGAGTCTTGCTATTTCACTTACGCATTAAAGGCAATAAATCATTATAAATTCTTCTGACCAAGATTGGCTGCTATAAATAATGAATTTTAATTTTAAGCTAGTTTCCCTTAGAATTCCATTTTTAATCAAATAATGACAGAATGCATAAAGTACATAGCTATTCTGCTTTTCCGTGTCGGACTAGAAATAAATCTTCTGGGGCACATTTCCCTCCCTGGGGAAGGAGTCCCGTCATTGTGCACAGAGGCTCCATGTCTTTATGAAGTGAGGTCTGGGGAACAGGAGTGGCTGCGTGTTCTAATGTGGATTGGAACACAACCTTCGAATTATGGGATTTCTCTGTGGTCTGTCTGCTCCTAAAAAGTTGCTCCCATCTGTTGGCAAGTGGGAGAGGAAAAATAAGATAAGAAGCAGAAGCAGAGTTAAAAGTTTGGGCCACAGTTAATTTCTTTCCATTACTCCCTTGTGTTTCTGATTTGCAGGGGAATGAGGAAAAGGAAGCAGATGTGTGTTTGCTTTTTTGCCTGTTGGAGAAACTGGTGGGGACTGTGGGCAGAAAGGGAAGGTGACAGAGAGGGGTGTACATAGGGGGCGGGGGGTGGGTGGTAGAAATAAAGCAGGCTGCTCCGATCTCCCTTGGCCTCTTCCTGGGCAAAATCTTGAACAACACCATTTCTGCAAAGTTAGCATTAATCCCACACAGCGTTCTCTCTGCTGCCAGACGTTTACAGAAAGTGTTCAGCTGGCATTCATCACATTTTCCTTGCAACTATGAGAAACATATCTTAACCTTCCCTGTGGTACTCGGTGAAAGATGGTGAAACTTGGTGTTTCGTTGATGTGCTGGTTGTGCTGAACTTGCCTCCATTAGAGTAACCTTTACCAGTCCTTTGACTCATGACTGGCAGTGGGTTAGATGTGTAGAAGATGAATTTGACTTTGTTAGAAGCAACTTATCTTGGCTTCTCCTTCGTTCAGCAACTGTTCTGCCGTTTGGAACTCAGAGAAAGTCATGGAGGCTGGAATCTAGCCTACAAGGAATGGGGGACGAAAAGGCCTTCATTCTAAGAGCCCCACAGGGCCCTGCTTGGCATCACCACCACCAGCAGGGACCTGGAGTCAGAATGACTGACCAGAGACAACCTGGAAACTAACCCCATCACCCTAAAACTTGAGACTGCAAGCCATGTCTCAGAGCAGTCCTCCTGGGTTCCCTTACCCCAATGCTGCCCACCCTGGGGCCCCTTCCCAATAAATCTCTTGCTTTGTATATAAAAAAAAAAGAACCACCTTGTCTTTCCCAATAGAAGCTTAGAGTTAATTAATCAAAAAAGTTGCTAAAGTCAAGAATAATGAAAAGATACAGACTATAAACATTTGTTTTAAAGTATATAGATGTACATAAATTTGTCAAGCTCTTGCTGTTGGGCCAAGGCCTTTTCTTCAATTGTAGGCTCATTTATTAGACTTCTGACTGTCTTTCTGACAAAGCCACACCCGTAATTTATCATCTATACTTTTCAATTTGGTGGAACTAGAAACTTATGAAGAAAATCTAGTGCAGAATCCTTTAAACGTTTTTTATCATGTATCACCAAAATTTTATTTCCCTCTTTCTTTTACATTCATCTCACCCAAACTTAGTTGAACAGCTGTTTTTTTAAACAACTCAGCATTATCAAGTCTTTTAAAGACATTCAGTTTAGTTTTCACACTTAGTTTTGTTTCACACTAAACAAAAATTCTTATTGCTCTCATGTTTCAGTGGTTTATCTAATATTTAATTAAATTAGATCATTGTAATAACAAACACAACTGCATAGACAGGTTTGGGACCAAATACTACTGATACTTGAGAAGCACAAAACTCAGCTCTTGGGAGCAAATTGTCTGGGCCTAAGTCACTTCAGTCGTATCCAACTCTTGGTGACCCTGTGGACTGTAGTCTGCCAGGCTCCTCTGTCCTTGGGATTTCTCCAGGCAAGAATACTTAAGTGGGTTGCCATTTCCTTCTCCACTGGGCCTGTGAACTACCTCTTTATTTTAGAATAATGCTCAATGAGAAATGGATGTCAGTCTTTACATTTTAGGGTTGTGAAGAGCATAAGTGCATATGGTGAGTGGCTAACTGGAGTTTGGTTGAGAGCTTTTGTTCTTTCTGCCTAAAGGTTTAGTGTTTAAGGTTGAATGTACAGAACTCCAGCTGGGTGTATTAAGTATACATGATTAGAGTGCACTTGTGATACATTGATAGTGGAGTGCAGCTCACAAGAGCCATTGCTCCTTTTCTTCCCGGTCCTACATTTCTCTTACCTAATTGGTTTGGTTTTCTCATAACTCCACAGCAACTTCCTACCATTTCCAATAGGAAGTCACCTCCTAAAGGGATGTTAATCAAAACTGTCTCCCTTCCACGTCCAGTATTTCCTTAACACAATGTCTCAGGAGAGGGACTCTTGTCATTGTAAGTCATGTATCAAACTGTGTCCCATGAAATTCGCTGTTAATTGTCCACTTTAATTCACTTTGCTTGTCAGAAAATTTGTGTTTTATATCTGTTTTTTTCTCTTCTCCTCTCTTTCTCCCTCTCTCTTTTTTCCTTTTTTTTTTTTGTTTGACTTTTGCTGTACTAACGAAAGTTTTTTCTATGTTTTTGCAGGCTCTTTCTTGATAAGGATATGCCTAGGTATTTTCTGTTTGTTTTTTTGCACATAAAGATTCTGTTTTATCAGAATGCCTTATGTCTTATGTTGCTTTGACTGCTATTGTAATTTAGTAGTTTTCTCCTGTGTAAGCTTGTACCCACCTAGGAATAGAGCAAGACCTTACTCTGCAGCCTTGTGCCCTAGGTTTTTCTAATGCATGTACAGTTTCATTTGCAGGTTCTTAAGTAATCTGTAGAGTTCATAATTATTTTCTCATTCCTTTTAGTAAACCTGCTCATTTTATTCTTATGCCGTGTCAAGTTTTCCCCTTCTACATTGCAAAGTAGAATGTTACTGCCCTCATTTCACGTAGAATCTCAGGCTTGTGTGATTGTTCACCTTTTTCTTTGTTTTGTCCTGTGTTGTATCAGAGACCAGTTTAGTTATTTGGGTAGCTGAGTCTGTGAGGAATATTTTTTATTTTTAAACATTTCTCTTTGTCCTGTCAGGACTACTTGTCTCATTTATTTTCTGCTTTTAGAATAGAAAAAAATTCCTAGTTTGATAGTGAAGGAAATTTCCTCCCATCTCTCTCTTCATCTGCTTGGGGAAATAAAACTGAAGGAAGTGACACATAACAGTATAGCCTGAATGTTTTATAAGATGCATGCACACAAACACCCATACAACACATAAACACACACTGCTTTTGTTTAGAATATCTTGAGAAGTCAACCTGGGGTTATTTCCTGACCACCTTAAAGCCATACAAGACCGCATATTTTAGGACTCAGCCCTGTTTCTAACTGCCAGTTCTCTTGCTCGCTTGAGTCCGTTGACATTACTCACGCGTCTTGGTTGTAGTTTGTATGACCTCTTCTCAAGAACTGCCATCCTTGGTGAATATTTTGGAAAAAAATGTGCAGCCGTAACTCCCAAGCACCAAACAAATCAAACCAAAAAAAAAAAAAAAAAAGCCACCTTTTTCTCCTCACCCCAATACAGGGAGATTTTAGTGATGTAAGAATTTTTCTATGTTAACCAAGTTTCTATCAGATAAATTTCTTCTTTAGGTTAAATGAAAACCAGACAACAGGAATGTGAAGAGGCTTTCTCACACAGATTCAGAACACTTGCCTCATTTGAGAGGGAATCATGAACTATAAATCCTGGCCCCAGGAAGCGCAGGTTCTGGTTCATTTCTTAATGAGTCCAGGCAGCAGGGCTAGGAATCGCTGTCCGGTGTCCCCAGGGTAACACACGCCCTCACCCTAGGAAGGGGCTTTACTTGACCTCAGCACAGGTGGGCCCAGACCTGCAGGGCCACAGGTAGGCCCCATTCCAGGTCCCTCAGCAGACACTGGGACAGAATAAAAGAGCCGTCTCAAGGACAGAGCCCTCAGTGGCTTCTGCTGAAGTAATGGATTCCACCACCCAACGTCAGAATTTGTCTTAAACCAAGCTAAAATTTAGATTCGATCAAAACAGGGCTCTGTGGGTGCATAAAGGGCTCTCTGCTGAGCCCAGGGGCAGGGGAGGGGCTTCTGTCGTCCTCCGTGGTTGCTGTTTGGGTCTCTTGGTTGCTTCATCTATCTTTGTCTTGCTGTCTCTCTGTTCCTTTGGTGTCTGTGTAGAGAATTTTCTTGACCCCTTGCGCTACCTCTTACCCCTTGAGAGCTAGATCTTTGCAAGAGTATCATGTACAGCTGATGACCCTTGAACAACACGGGCTTGAACTGTGTGGGTCCACTTATGTGTCGATTTTTTTCAGTAGTAGGTACCACAGCACTCCATGATCCGTGGTTGGCTGAACCTGCAGAGGCAGAACCTTGGATATCGAGGGCTTACTATAAGTTATATGTGGATTTTTTCTTTTTTTTGGCTGTTCTGGGTCTCAATTGCTGCACAGACTTTCTCTAGTTTGGGCGAGCAGGGGCTCCTGTTTGTTGCAGTTCGCGCTTCTCACTGCGGCGGCTTCTCCTGTGGAGCATGGCCTGTAGGCGCTCGGGCTCAGTAGTTGGGGTGCAGAGGCTTAGTTGCCCTGCAGCATGTGGGATCTCCCCAAACCAGGGATCGAACCCATGTCTCCTGTGTTGACAGGCAGATTCTCCACTACCACTCAGACCACCAGGGAAGTCCTATACACAGATTTTTAAGAGCATGGAGGGTCAGCCCCCTATCCCCTGTTGTACAAGGGTCAGCTGTACTTCAAGATGATTTACAACTGTACTTCTAGAAGCAGCTACAAGATGAAATTATCAGGCTTCAAACACTAGCACTCAGAATGAGGTGTGGTTACAGAGTTCATTTAGGAGTATTGTTTTCTCTGATTATTTCTGGAGAAAGAAGCACAGAGCTGTGTTTAGAGTGAAGATATGCCAGCTATTTGTCAACATCTGGAAAAGAGAGCTGCAGTGAGATTACCATTTGGGAAGGAGTGAGGTGGAATGTACTGGGCAGGGAATAAAGTGTGCAGAACTCCAGTTGTATCAGGTGAGGTGCGTTACATGTCCAGAGAGTGTGGTGCTGGGCAGCCCACTCTGTGAGGGTGGACAAAGTGTTTTCCCTGACAGCTCTCTCGGGGGTTGAGTTGGGCGTTGATCTCTGACACGCTGTTGAACTCAGGATGGTGTTTCAGGTGAGACCTGATGAACTGGAGCTTTAATGTCAAGTAGGGGCTATGGTGTTTTTACTGGGAGGAAAAAAGAAAGGTATTAGGACAGTTTACAAAATCAGTTTACAGATGTTTACTAAATAATCAAACTTCTAGTTGTTATTTGAATGTTAGATTCTTATGTGGATTTTTGGAAAACTGATTAGTAGTTGGCTAGCTCTGGTACTAAAAATCATTTACTTTTACTGAAATGTCAGCTAAGAATAACCTCATATTTTATTTAAAACAAGGTTCTCTATACTGCCTCTCTCATCAGTCCTCCTATATGTGTGTGTGACGTTTCTGAGGTTCAGCAGGATGGGATTGAGACATGAAGAAAGCTGCTTCAGATGATTGAACCTCTGCTTCCTGCCCTGGTCACTGACTCATGGAGGAGCTCACTTAGTTTTTCTTATTTTAGTTTCTGTCCATACTCATTTCCGCTTTTCATCTTAATTCTTTTGATTGATCTCACTATGTTGATGTTTATAGGCAGGGAAAAAACAGGCTTGTCAAAAAAAAAAAGCATAGCTACGTGTTCCTTGACAACAGGTGGGGGCAAGAGGCTGGAGGCTGACCTTTTTCTCCCAGGAGATGAAGGTTCTACTCTGTTGTCAGAGTTTGGGAAGTTGGAACTGTGGGTCGCTGTAGGTTCTGCAGCATTTCTGATTGTGGCAGTACCTGGACTAAGGTGACTTCAGGGCTCTACAGTGTTTCCGACTGTGGCAGTACCTGCACTTAGGTGCCTGCAGCTTTAGGTGACCCCTCTTGCCTTTTCGACTGTAGGACCTTCTATCGTTTCGAGGCCGTCTGGGATAGTTCCCTCCATAACTCCCTCCTTCTGAACCGAGTGACACCCTACGGCGAAAAGATCTACATGACCCTGTCGGCCTACCTGGAGGTGAGAGGACCCACAACTTGAGTTGCCATGACCTGCCCGCCCTGCACAGTGGGCAGGTCACAACAAGGAAATGGGGAGGAACGATGTGACTGATTTTGTCTTCCTTTCTCCTGGCTCATCCTTAAGTTACTTATTATGTTATACTTTGCTAACTACTGCTAACTACTCTGGTTATATTAGGTTCTGTTCCCAGTCTCTAGTTAACCAAAAAGTCGCATAACTTCTATTTCATTTTCAGTTTTAGTAGCCTAATCCCCATCCTCCAGAGAATGCATGATTTTAGGAAAACAGCCTCTTGTTTTGGAAGCTGTGGATGGAGCCTAGTAGTGGTTAACATCGCAGATGCTAGAACTAGCCTCTCTGAGTGTAGGTTCCTGTGCTGTCACTTAACTTCCCTCCTGTCCTTGGACGAGTAATTTCTCCTCTGTGCCTCAATTTCCTCATCTCTTGAACAGGGGTCATGATAGTATTAATAGCATTTACCTAAACAGTGCTAGGCATGTGACAATAATAAATATCAGCTGCTGCCTACAGAAAAAAAAACTGAAAAAATTTTGAGAAAATAAATGCACCTACAAGGAATACCGCCTGACCTTACATGTATTGTTTTCTGATTTGCTGTTGAAATAAATTGTTGGTAGAACCCCCCACCCCCACCCCACGTCTGGGACCAGCTTTCCAATGCCATAGTGCCCAGACTGTGGTCACAGGAGTTCTGTCTGCTTTCAGCTGGATCACTGCATCCAGCCGGCCGTCATAACCAAGGACGTGTGCATGGTCTTTTACTCCCGGGATGCCAAGATCTCGCCACCACGCTCGCTGCGCAGCCTCTTTGGCAGCGGCTATTCAAAGTCACCAGACTCGTAAGTTTTTGAGACAAATGTTGCCTCGGTTTGGTGGGCCCCGTACAGAATGAGTGGTCTCCTAACTGCTGTTTTCAGGGTTCTCAGCCTATAAACCATTTGGTAGCTGACACCTGGAGTGCAGTAAGGTAAATGTTGGCATTTAGTAAAATATTAATAGATGGATGAGTAGTAAAGGAAGGAAGGCATGTTCCATTGTGAACACTTCTCCAACAGTTCTGCAGGGACTGAGTGTTCTTTTAAATGTCATTATTATTATTTCCAACAGCCTACTGTTGGGATGTTCTTTTTCTTAAGATTTATTTGTGTTTTAGATACATAAGTGTACATCAAGAATAATACAGTGACTACCTGTGCATCACCACTGAGCTTAAAAATGGTTACTAATGCAGTAGAAGGTTCAGTCCCCTTCCTAACCACACCGCCAGAAGCTGGTGTTTATCATTTTCATTCTACTCAGACCTTTACCCCCTTATCTCTTCTTTCTTGTGGTAAGAAAAGGCAAAATTCAGTTTTCACATTTGTATTATACATTTTCCAGTTTATCATTCAGTTTTTTCCTAAGTTCAGAATAGGAGAAGAATAGTGACTAATGAGAGATGTCTGTAATTTTATTTGAGGGTGGGTTGCAATTCCAGCACAGGAGACAATGTTTTAAGCAGAGAGAATTGAGATTCTTCTTGTTTTTGTGCTGTTTGAAATTAAGCAATTGTTTATTTGTTTTAATTTACGTAGCAATCGAGTCACTGGAATTTATGAACTCAGTTTATGCAAAATGGCAGACACAGGAAGTCCAGGTAAGCTCTGTGGATCAGGGAAGAGAGAGTTACCTTTGCATCTGACTGCAGTACACGATATCAAAAGTTTACCCCACCCATGCAGGATGGATATACATTTTTGAGACACCAGTTATATTTTACAAGCCACTTTGGTGGTGATGGTGGGAGTTACCATTTTCTGAGTTACAACACTGTTTGCTTTATGACATGGTATACAGTTATAAAAACTGTATAAAACAGAGTGTTACTAGGCTGTGGAATATTATCAGTATAACAAATTCAAGCATATTTTGAGAATTCCCTAGAGATCCAGTGGTTAGGATTCAGTGCATTCACTGCTATGGCCCCAGATTCAGTCCCTGGTCAAGGAACTAAGATCCTACAAGCCCTGAGTCATGACCCCCCTCCCTGACCCCCCCAAAAAAAATCAAGTGTATTACAGTGAATCTGGTTTGGAAAACTTCAGAACCATTTCCCTTCCTACCTTAGCCCCAAAGGTAACTCGACAGTGTGACTTTACAGGTGCTGTCAAACTAGAATTTGAACCTCCTATGCTATAGAAAGACAAATTATTATTAAGCTGAGCTTGTTCTGTGTCCCTTTTTATGTCTCTGTGGACTGCTGTTATTCCTCCAATGTGGTGGCCTTAAGCAGCCCTCTGTGTTTCCATGTTTGTGAAACTGGAACATGGGCTGATTCATGTCAATGTATGACAAAAACCACTACAATAAAAAAAAAAATATTCTTTGTTGAGGAATGTTGCTGGAGTGATTGCTACATTTAGTGATCTCTGAGGTGACAAAAAGGTAACTGCGTCAAGGGAATATTATAATTTTTAATGGACATTGATAAATAAAATGCTTTTCGATTAATATATGGTGTTTCCCAAAAGATTCCAAATTACATTCCTGTGCTATTCAGTTGATAGACATTAGAATTAATATGAAAGAGATAATGAAATGTTTTCTTCTAAGATTAAAATAACTTATTCTCTTCTGTTCATCATCTGATTCAAATGCAATAAAGAGTATTTCTCCAAAAAAAAAAAAAGAAACTGGAACATGGACAAAAGTATGGGTTTTTCAAAACGTTTAGTGTAAGTTTGAATCATTTTAGAGAACATATGTGGAAAAGAGACTGAGGCCCACAGATAAGAATGGAGATAAAAGGAAGATTCTGAGTATGAATCTAAGTCCCATAGCAGCTAATTACAGTGTCTAGAGAATTCCTTCAGAAATTTTTAAATTAACATAAATTCATGTCTTTTAAGGGCTTCCCTGAGAGCTCAGTTGGTAAAGAATCTGCCTGCAATGTGGGAGACCCCAGTTTGATTCCTAGGTGGGGAAGATCCACTGGAGAAGGGATAGGCTACCCACTCCAGTATTCTTGGGCTTCCCTTGTGGCTCAGCTGGTTAAGAACCCACCTGCATTGTGGGAGACCTGGGTTTGATCCCCGGGTTGGAAAGATCCCCTGGAGAAGGGAAAGGCTACCCATTCCGGTATTCTTGCCTGAAGAAATTCCATGGAGAAGTTCATGGGGTCCCAAAGAGTTGGACAAGATTGAGCGCCTTTCACTTTCATGTCTTTTAAATTTGAAACCAGTTCAGTTCAGTTCAGTTGCTCAGTCGTGTCCGACTCTTTGCGACCCCATGAACTGCAGCACGCCAGGCCTCCTTGTCCATCACCAACTCACGGAGCCTACCCAAACTCATGTCCATTGAGTCAGTGATGCCATCCAACCATCTCATCCTCTGTCATCCCTTTCTCCTCCTGCCCTCAATCTTTCCCAGCATCAGGGTCTTTTCAAATGAGTCAGCTCTTCGCATCAGGTCGCCAAAGTATTGGAGTTTCAGCTTCAGCATCAGTCCTTCCAATGAACATCCGGGACTGATCTCCTTTAGGATGGACTGGTTGGATTTCCTTGCAGTCCAGGGGACTCTCAAGAGTCTTCTCCAACACCACAGTTCAAAAGCGTCAATTCTTCGGTGCTCAGCTTTCTTTATAGTCCAACTCTCACATCCATACATGACCACTGGAAAAACCGTAGCCTTGACTAGATGGACCTTTGTTGGCAAAGTAATGTCTCTGCTTTTTAATATGCTGTCTAGGTTGGTCATAACTTTCCTTCCAAGAAGTGTCTTTTAATTTCAGGCTGCAGTCACCATCCGCAGTGATTTTGGAGGCCCCCAAAATAAAAATCAGCCACTGTTTCCACTGTTTCTCCATCTATGTGCCATTCTGAATGCTGAGCTTTAAGCCAGCTTTTTCACTCTTCTCTTTCACTTTCATCAAGAGGCTCTTTAGTTCGTCTTCACTTTCTGCCATAAGGGTGGTGTCATCTGCATATCTGAGGTTATTGATATTTCTCCCAGCAATCTTGATTCCAGCTTGTGCTTCATCCAGCCCAGCATTTCTCATGATGTACTCTGCATATAAGTTAAATAAGCAGGGTGACAATATACAGCCTTGACGTACTCCTTTTCCTATTTGGAACCAGTCTGTTGGTCCATGTCCAGTTCTAACTGTTGCTTCCTGACCTGCATACAGGTTTCTCAAGAGGCAGGTCAGGTGGTCTGGTATTCCCATGTCTTTCAGAATTTTCCACAGTTTATTGTGATTCACACAGTTAAGGGCTTTGGCATAGTCAATAAAGCAGAATAGATGTTTTTCTGGAACTCTCTTGCTTTTTCAATGATCCAGCGGATGTTGGCAATTTGATCTCTGGTTCCTCTACCTTTTCTAAAACCAGCTTGAACATCTGGAAGTTCATGGTTCATGTATTGCTGAAGCCTGGCTTGGAGAATTCTGAGCATTACTTTACTAGCGTGTGTGATGAGTGCAATTGTGCGGTAGTTTGAGCATTCTTTGGGATTGCCTTTCTTTGGGCTTGGAATGAAAACTGACCTTTTCCAGTCCTGTGGCCACTGCTGAATATTCCAAATTTGCTGGCATATTGAGTGCAGCACTTTCACAACATCATCTTTTAGGATTTGAAATAACTTAACTGGGATTCCATCACCTCCACTAGCTTTGTTTGTAGTGATGCTTCCTAAAGCCCACTTGACTTCACATACCAGAATGTCTGGCTCTCGGTGAGTGATCACACCATCGTGATTAACTGGGTTGTGAAGATCTTTTTTGTATAGTTCTTCTGTGTATTCCTGCCACCTCTTCTTAATATCTTTTGCTTCTGTCAGGTCCATACCATTTCTGTCCTTTATTGAGCCCATCTTTGCATGAAATGTTCCCTTGGTATCTCTTATTTTCTTGAAGAGATCTCTAGTCTTTCCCATTCTATTGTTTTCCCCTGTTTCTTTGCATTAATCACTGAGGAAGGCTTTCTTACGTCTCCTTGGTATTCTTTGGAACTCTGCATTCAAATGGATATATCTTTACTTTTCTGCTTTGCCTTTCACTTCTCTTCTTTTCACAGCTATTTGTAAGGCCTCCTCAGACAGCCATTTTGCTTTTTTGCATTTCTTTTTCTTGGGGATGGTCTTGATCCCTGTCTCCTGTACAATGTCACGAACCTCTGAAACTAGTACAACATTTTAAAAAATTAATGGGAAATAATGGAGGCAGAAACAGTTGGTCATCTACCATCTTGACTGAGCCATGAAACATGAGGGAGGTGCATATAGTCCTTTCCAACTGTTTTCCCCTGAGTGTATTTTTATATATTTGAACCAATAGTGTGCAGAATATTTAATCTCTGTGTTTTCACTTGACATAATATCTAGCATTTTCTCAAGTTGCATTACCAGCTTCATAATTATCTATGAATATAAAACTCAGTTTTAAAAGAAGTTCAGACAGTTGCTTTGGAGCAAAAGGGATACATTTTTATTAATAATACCCCATGTATCTTGAGACTCAACTGTCCTAGTATGCCATATGTATAAATTATTCATTCCTTTTGAGCTAAAATTAGACTTGGGTTTTTCTGTGGGGGGAAAAAAAAAGTGGCTTTCTCTTATCTCAGGCATGCAGCGGAGGAGAAGGAAAATCTTGGATACTTCAGTGGCGTACGTGCGGGGGGAGGAGAACTTGGCCGGCTGGCGGCCCCGGGGAGACAGCCTCATCCTAGAGCACCAGTGGGAATTGGAGAAGCTGGAGCTCCTGCACGAGGTACTGGGGGGCAGGCAGAGGCGGGCGAACTCTCGGGCAAAATGCCCCAAATATCATCTTATGCTCAGCTGCTGCCTGTGACCAGGGCTTGGCAGTTCTCCGTCACAGTGGAGGCGTGATATAATACTTTGCTTATTAAGACCTTGATGAGCTTGCATTTGCTGGTCTTCTTAGGTGGAGAAAACCCGCCACTTTCTGCTGCTCCGTGACAGACTGGGTGACAGCATCCCCAAATCCCTGAGTGACTCGTTGTCCCCCAGCCTCAGCAGCGGGACCCTCAGCACCTCCACCAGCATCTCCTCTCAGATCTCAACCACCACCTTTGAAAGTGCTATCACACCCAGCGAGAGCAGTGGCTACGACTCAGCAGACATTGAAAGCCTGGTGGATCGAGAGAAAGAGCTGGCTACTAAGGTGGGACTCCCTGTCCCTGCTGAGCACTTCCCTCTGAGGCTCTGTGAGCTGGTCTTTCTGTTTTCTCTTTTGTATTTTCATCTTTCTTTGAGGGTCTCTTATACAAGGCCTGTGCTGACACTGTGATTATAGGAGTAAGAAGACTTAATTTCTACCCTTAATAAGTTTCCAGGCAAGTGGGTGGCTAGTTTTTAATAGAGGTGTGATCTGAAATCCTGTGGGAGGCAGAGGAGAGGTCTGCCCAGGAGGGCACTCATGAGCTGACCTTGGGAAGATACACAGGCGAGAGCCAGCAATGTACCGCATGACCAGTGTGAGGGAATCCACGCAGGAGAGGGACAGGAGATGGAGTTGGGGAAACAGGCCAGGGCCAGATCACGAAGAGCCTGTGTGCTGGACTAAAGCATTCAGAGTGACCTGGGAATGCTTCAAATGGGTATTTGTGTTTTAGAAAGATTTCTTTGGCAGTACTAAAGAGGCTAAATTTGTGGTGAGGAGACTAGAGGCAGAAAGAATTCTTTATTTCCATAATCCAGATGAGAAATGATCAAGTTTTTTAACTATGGTGGGAGTATGTGGGATGAAGAAGAATCGTGAGAGAGATGTTTGGAAGGTAAAATCCACATTGTTTGTGCCTGGATACCACGGGAGCAGGCAGAGGGCTTGTTTGGCATGTGGATCTGGGCAACTGGCTGACAATGGAATATAGAAAAAAGAGGGAGTCTGTGATTGTTTCAGTAATCAAATGGTCATCTAGTTGATTTAGGAACGTATGTCATCTAGAAATCTCCATGCCTTTTAGTACCAGCGCGAGTTGAGAATTAGAGATGCCGTTGCATTCTTAAACACTTTAAACTGTGGTGTTGCTCAGTCAGACGGGCGCGGAGACGCTTCTGGAAGCTTGTTTTGGTTGGTGATGGTGGTACTGGAAAAACTACATTCGTGAAGCGTCATCTGACTGGTGAATTTGAGAAGAAGTATGTAGCTACCTTGGGTGTTGAGGTCCATCCTCTTGTGTTCCATACCAACAGAGGACCTATTAAGTTCAATGTATGGGATACAGCTGGTCAGGAGAAATTTGGTGGACTGAGAGATGGCTATTATATACAAGCTCAATGTGCCATTATAATGTTTGACGTAACATCAAGAGTTACTTACAAGAATGTGCCTAACTGGCATAGAGATCTGGTACGAGTGTGTGAGAACATCCCAATTGTGTTGTGTGGCAACAAAGTGGATATTAAGGACAGAAAGGTTAAGGCAACTTGAGTTTCAAATATAAGACTGCTATAGTCACATGACAATATTGAGAGGTGGAATCTTGTTTGTTACTGTCATTCCCATTCCTTTTCGTTTAGAATCAGAATAAAGTTGTATTTCAAATATCTAAAAAAAATAAAAAATAAAAAAAAAAATAAACTGTGGTGTTTGCAGTAATTCACTTTTCAGTTTTGAGAATGGCTTTTTATCCACTCATATTATCCTTATTAGGCAGGTCCAAGGCTTCCCTTGCTATATACCTAGCTAATTTCCCAGGTTATTTGAGCAGCACCTGAGCTCCACTGTGGGTCTTAGGCATGTTATTTTCCCTCCCTGCTTTAATTCAGGGCTTTGTTTAACCATCAAAACTTACTCTTCTCATTCTCTTCCCTAGTGCCTGCAACTTCTCACCCACACTTTCAACCGAGAATTCAGCCAGGTGCACGGCAGCATCAGTGACTGCAAGGTGAGCAGCTCATGTTTTCTGTCCTCAGGTTCTGCTGCTTTTAGGTGGCTTGAGATGGGCCTGGTGTTATGTCTGAGGATGTCTGACATATCTCCTCCTGCATTTATTTATTTAATTTTTCAGTCAGAACACTGACTTCTGAAGATAACATATCCTTCTCTGTCTCTTAGACCAATTACCAGATGGGAAACATTTGGCTTTTCCCTGGATCCCTTGGAGAAGAATATTCTGTTGAGGGTGATACGTTATTATTTAGCAGGGCACAGCAAGTCCTGAGGCTCTTGGTGGCATGAAATTTTGTTGTCTTTGACAGAGAGTGAGGTGAACACTCTCTTGAGAGAGCTTCTGCTTCACTCTCTTCCCGTCATCATCCCCTTTCCTGCTCTTCCCTAGACACGCCAAGCTTTCCACCTTGGGTCTGTGTACACGGCCTGTTTATTTGTCTGGAATAATCTTCCAGATAGTCCCTTGATTGGCTTCCTTAGCCATTTCATCCTTCTGCTCAGATATTGCCTCCTTGAAGTGAATTCCTTTAACCATCCTCTATGAAGTCAGCAGCTCTCTGAAACTTTTTAACCTGCTTCCCTGCTTTCTGTTTTGCTGTAGCATTGATCCCTGCCTGACACTTCTTAAAGTGTTTGTTGACTGGTTGATTCTCTGCCTTCTCCACTTAGAATGTAAGCTTCAGGAGGGCAGGGCCCCTGCCATGTTCTTTAGAGCAGTACCTGTTGTTCTCAGGGCTCAGCATGCATAGACAGGGTCATTTAGTCAGTGAAGCAGGCTATAGCAGTATAAAATACAGGCATATTTTATAAATATGAAAAGCAAGCCTTGCCTCTTTTGTAAATATCTTTATTCTTATTGTGACACTTAGGCCATAAAATATTTGTAGAAATTGTTTTCTTGAAAGACCGGAAACACAGGAGATGTGTGAATGTGAGGTCCCTGGCTGCCAAAGCTGCTCGCTGCAGAGGTCCTTGTGTCCATCTGAATCTCACTTGCCTTGCTCTGTTTTCTTCCAGTTGTCCGATCTCTCTCCCATCGGCCGGGACCCCTCCGTGTCCAGTTTTAGCAGTTCTACCCTCACTCCCTCCTCTACCTGCCCCTCTTTGGTGGATGCAAGGAGCAACTCCTTGGATCAGAAGTAAGTACCCAGACTTCACTGAGAGAAGCTAATGTGAGAACCAAGGTAAAAGCCAACCTTCTGCTTGCTCAGTGGTTCCCAGCCGAGGGCAGCACCATCTCCCAGGCAGCACTGGGAGATATGTGGGAGCCTTTTCTGGATGTCACAGTGGCTTGGAAGGTGCTCCTGTCACCTCTGAATGTCACACCTTCCTAAATCTCTGCACCATATCACTGACTCCTCTTCTTCATCCCCCTTTGCTTGATTTGTTCTTCAGTTCACAACCCTGGTTGTCTCCCCATTCATATCAGACACGGGAAGCCCCATCTAGGGAAAAATATTTTGAAATGACTTTGGAAAAAATATTTTAATGACACAGCCAAATATATAGGTAAGAGTAATAGAGACCAAGTCTAGGTCTCATGACTTAATCATTATAATCACTGCTGTGCCGTTGCTGTCAGTCTCCTTCTCCCTGTCTCCGTTCGTTATGCTTACCTGTCCGAACCCATCTGGTTCTCATCCAACTCTGTCTTCCTGTATCAGTACCGACACAGTGGGCTGCAGAAAAGAGCACAACAGGGTGATTTAGTTGAATTTCACTGCCATCAACTGTAAGAAATTATTTATATGCCACTAAAAAAACTTCCCTGTTGGCGCTAGTGGTAAAGACCCACCTGCCAATGCAGGAGACCTAAGAGACATGGGTTCGATCCCTGGGTTGGGAAGATCCCCTGCAGGAGGGCATGGCAACCCACTCCAGTATTCTTGCCTGGAGAATCCAATGGACAGAGGAGCCTGGAAGGCAGTGGTCCACAGGGTCACAGAGAGTCAGACATGACTGAAGTGACCTAGCACACAGTGTGCAAGAAAGCCAAAGCACTGTCACTGCAATGTGACATGCCATCAATTATAAGATGTATCCCAATTGGAGAAACAATGAAGTGTGAGAAAAATGGGCTTTTTGGAGTTGGTGAGATACAATTGATTAGACCAAGCTGCTCTATAAAGATAATGCAGAGCTCAGGAATTGTCTCTCTCAGCAGCTTTGCTCCAGACGATCACATGGGAGCCCAGTTCTTATTTGTTGCGTGCTCCACTGGTCCTTCAGGCAGTGGTTCTCAGACTTTAGAGATATCAGCCTCACCTGGGAGGCTTGTGATAGCCCAGATGGCTGAGCCCCATCCAGGGTTTCTGATTCCACATGTCTGAGCTGAAGCCGGAGAATGTGAATCTCTAACACTCTTTTCAAGTGAAGTTGATGCTGCTGATCAGGGACCTCACCTTGAGAACCCCTGCCCTAGGTGCTGCCCTTGGTGTGGCCTGGGGACTAGACAGGAACATACCAGGGAATGGTATTCATACGCCTCAGCCTACTGTTGAGAGGGCTTCCAGACAAGAGGGAAGACTGAGAGACTCGCTGGTCATCAGTGAGAATTTCCTTTCTGTTAATAACTGCCGAAGGATGACACCCAGTGGATGTAGGATTAATTACCTTTTGGATGCCAGCTCTGTCTTAGCCAGGCTCTGAGGACCTGATATTTGCAGGGTCCCTGGTATTTGGGGAGAAGCATTGTTTTGTGCATTGACCTCATATACGCTCTTGGTACCCCCTTTCTTCCTAACCTCTGTCTCTTTTCAAGGACCCCAGAAGCCAATTCCCGGGCCTCTAGTCCCTGCCCAGAATTTGAACAGTTTCAGATTGTCCCACCTGTGGAAACGCCCTATTTGGCCCGAGCAGGAAAAAATGAATTTCTCAATCTTGTTCCAGATATTGAAGAAATTAGACCGGGGTGAGTACTGTATGGAAAAGAGATGCCAGGTATTAGAAGACAGATTAGTGGGAATTCACTTCCAACTCTTATGCTTAAGTCTAATGCAGATGGACCCGGAATGCAGGATCGGGACTGGGTTCTGCTCCAGGTGTATCTCTGTCCCCCTCATCTGACACGCCTGCCAAATAGATCATTGCCTGTTTCCTTCAACCTAGGGACGTGGCCTCAGTCTGTTTTGATGGCCTTCAGCTTAGGATCACTTAATTTTTCTGAGGAACTAACTTCTGCTGACCTGTCCTTTCAGCTCAGTGGTCTCCAAGAAAGGATATCTGCATTTCAAGGAGCCCCTGTCCAGCAACTGGGCTAAACATTTCGTCGTGGTTCGTCGCCCTTACGTTTTCATCTATAACAGCGACAAAGACCCTGTGGAGCGGGGCATCATTAACCTGTCCACAGCGCAGGTGGAGTACAGCGAGGACCAGCAGGCCATGGTGAAGGTCAGTCCTGCCCTCTTCGCTGTTCATCGCCGTGCACGGCCTGCCCTTTTGAGTTCTGAACTCTGTCGTGTGGTGCAGAATCTCTCTTTTGTGTTTGGTGTCTCTGAACCATCCATGTGAAGGGCTGTGTGCCCTCTGAATGTAGCAGGTGGCCGCCATTGTTCAGTACCCATAGGAACCTTCTTGTTCTCCTGGGTCTCTTCCAGACACCGAACACCTTTGCCGTGTGCACCAAGCACCGTGGGGTCCTTTTGCAGGCTCTCAACGACAAAGATGTGAATGACTGGTTGTACGCCTTTAACCCGCTCCTTGCTGGCACAATACGGTAAGAAGCTCTTCTTGGGTTTCCTTCCTCTGCTTGGCTGTTGGCTCCAGGGATGTTAGCATAAACAGGAATGAAAGCCTTGTTGCAAACATGTTTCTCTGGTTACATTTGAACCCACTTAATCTGTTGCTTCCACTTGTTCTTCTTAAGGGGGCTGCAGCTAGAGGCTATGGGACTGAGTAAAGGAAAGACTGGGAGAACCTTAATGGTCCCCAGTGTTCAGCTGTGCGATCCAACCTCAGACCCCGAGAGGGGCCTCTGTCCCAGGATCCCCAGAGTGAGGAGGACCATCGACTGGCCTGTTTGTCCAGGGGCCTAACGACTGGGCCTGCAGTGCAGGATGGGAGGACGAAGGACATGAAGAGGGGGCACAGAAAAGCAGACCTACGGGGCAGGGCCCTCTGAATCCCAGCCTCCAACCCTGTGTCTATCTCATCCTCTCATCCCTTTGTCGCCTGCAGGTCAAAACTCTCCCGCAGATGCCCGAGCCAAGCGAAGTACTAGGTGACTGCCGAGCACCCTCACCCGCCTCCCGAGAGATAAAGTGTTTCCCCTCATTTCTCTTTGTGATCCTTGACGGTTACTCTTGTGTGTGATCCTGTGGCTTAACTACTCGTCCCTCTCGTCCAGCACTTTTTCTAGTGCTCCTGGTCCCCATTCCCATTGCTCTGTACTCTTTTCTTTTTTCCTGTGTTGAGAATCTTGTTAGAAGCATGTGGCCTAACAAAAGTGGGGAAAAAACAAACAAACACAAACACACAAAAACCCCAAGGAGATCCAAATTATTTTTTGGTGTACTTTGGCTTCCTTTTGTATGCTAGGTCCCCATTATGACCACTGACATCTGTGCTGCTGTCTTTGGATATCTCTGTCTGTTTTTCAAGACACCACAATACTTCTTTCTTTTCTCTGTTTGAGATATGATTTTAACTTTTCTTGGGTGGCTTAGAGACTAAAGGAGGAGACATCTAGTCTTTTTAGAACCTAAGGGGAAGAATCTTACCCTTCCCCTTTCTGTTGCTTCTTGCCATGACTAATCCCTGCATTTTCCATTCAGGAAACAAATGGTTGTAGTGAGCTTAAAGGTGGGAAGGTGTATTCTCTGAAATTGGGGCTTATTTAGACCATAGCTATGTAATTTTAACATAGTGGAAGAGAGGAGAAGAGAGGGACTTTTCAGCAGGTTTGGGACAGTGGCCGCTGTTGACCGTGTTAGAAGGGAAGAACCAGGGCTGTTGCCAGTGGGTCTCACAGGCCAAGGGGCCTTGGTGGTGGTGGTCTGGAGGATGCCAGTGTTCCCTCACAGGAGGGCTCCTTGAGCGGTTTGTCTCACTGGGAGGGAGCCTCTTCTGAGTCCCATTTCTGTTCTGCTCATTAGTGATGATGGTGGCTCAGTTTGGATTTCCTGCCATGATGTCATACACAAATATCCCATCAGGAGGGAGTGTCTGCCTTCCTGGTGATAAACCTGGTGGTCTTTGTCATCATCATGATTATGGTAAGGCCGGGTAGTGACCTTGTGATGGTTGTAGCTCCCTTTGATCAAAGAAACGTAGCTCTAAGAGTACACTTGAACAGAGGAGCCTGGTATACTGCAGTCCATGGGGTCACAAAGAATCGGACATGACTAAGCTACTGAACAACCAAATACACTCGGAAGCCTCCCTCTGAGTCCAGTGGCGTTTTTAGTGATCCTCGTCCAGTTGGAAATCCTGTCAGTGATACTTGTCTCCCTCCGCGAACAAATAGATAAGCAAACGTGGCAGGGTTTGCTTTTTGGACCCCAAATTATAACAGACTGCCTCGCACCACCAAAAGCAAAAGGACACCTGGGGGCAGAGATGCAGTTCCACCTGAACCCCGGCCCCAGAGACGCAGAGACGCAGTTCCACCCGAACCCAGGCCCCAGAGACACAGAGACGCAGTTCCACCTGAACTGGTTGTCTCCTCTGTGGAAATCCTGCCAGAGGGGAGAGGAGCCCTCTGCCCACAGCCTCCTGCTGTGACAGAACAGGCTCGCCTGCTGCCCAAGGCCTTGCAGAAGATGCGCCGCCTCTTCCAGCTGCAGTGAGTGTCCCAGAAATGAACAGGAGAGGAGCCTCTGGGTACTTCGGTTGCTTTCCAGTTGACTTGGGGATGTCCTCTACCATCCTTTCCCATCCTCGCTCACACCTTTCTTTGACCATCCCCCAGGCCATCAGGAAAGTGTCTGCTCACTCCCACTTTGTGGAGACCGGAGGTCCCCAGTCTTGAGGGCACTGACTCTTGGAAGGCAAGGGGGAAGGGCCCATGAGCTCCTCAGAACAGGTGCTGGGCAGGCGCGTCAGCACCCAGACTGTGGCCTTCCTGCCGGGGCTCATCTTCTGGCTTCATTCATAATTGCTTTGCAAAGAGGAGGAAAAGGAAGTCACTGGAGAGCTGAACAAGAGAAAGAAGAGTAATTAAAGGCTATGGCCTTACCTGAAAAATTATTAAGAAAAACTGTAGTAGATTTTTAAACTTTCTTCCTCACCTTAAATGCAACATAGGTCACTAACCCTAATGTTACTTGTTTTCTAAGTGGTACTTGAGACTTTAACATAGTTAGAGGTTTCTTTTCTAATGGGTACAATATGCCCTTCCAGTGTCTACTCAAACCCAGGATCTGTTTTTGCTTAGAGACAGCTTCCTGGGCTGAAATTAAGTAATTTCAGGGAACAAAGATGAGATCCGAAGGTTAACGTTTAGAGTTAGGTCTTGGATGCTGCTGCTGTTAGTCTGACAGGAGGACCCATGTCTGCAACTAAAGGAGGTGGGGGAAGCAGAGGGAGAGAGGAATCAAGTGACAGACTGACATGGCTTGTTTTTGCTTCTCACTTGAACAAAACTGACTGGGAAAGTCTTTGCTTTGGGATGTCAGATATTATGACAGGCTGAGGTCAGAAGGCCTAGTGAGGCAGTAGGGGTGCGGCCATGGCTCACCTGTACAGCCCCCATGGGGGCCCCTCTTCTCTAGGGACCTGTTTTCAGATTAAAGCTGGAGCAAGGGTTGATGTTCCCTTTCCAGGCAGGCCCATCCCCACTTTCAAGCTCTGAGAGGGAATTTATAGCAGGAATTATGAGGCTTTTGTGGAAGAGGAAAAGTGAAAGAACTTAAATCTTTAAGGTAGCTACCTTTTAAGGTAGTTTTTGGGTTTTCTTTTTCCCCTAATGCACTGTTTTAAGCAAGCAGAATAATAACAACAAAGCAAGGAAGAACACTCATACAAAGTAAGGAGAAATGAGTGCTATTTAAAAGTACCATCTCCTCCCCGCATCCTCCTTATTCCTGTCAGAGCAGAAGACGGCCCCATGGCTTCCACCAGACAGGTGTCCACACCCTCCTTGTCTCTGCGCCTGCCTAGGGGTCAGTCAGCTCCCAGGCCGGGCTCTGCGGGGTCAGCCAGCCCGCGCACCGCCACCAGCGCAGGGAGGGGCTGCCTCTGGCAGCTGGGTGGGAACTTGAATTCCAGTCCATTTTTATAATGTGAGGGAAGTTGAGGGAAATGATTTCTCCCAACTAAGAAACCACTAGTTTTTTCCCCTTCAGCTGTATAGAACTTACACAACTGCTCAGTTTCAATGGGGTTTTTCAGCTCTTTTAAGATGAAGGAATTAGTTAAATCACTGCAAGATCTTTTGGTACCTAAAGTAAAAACGACTTCTCTTGGCACATATATCAAAGCAAAGACTTTGTTGCCTGCTGCTTGCTGTCTAATTTACAGGGATATTTAATTTTGTAAGGTATTTGTATATTTACATAGCTGTAATTAATTGCACATTGAACTGGAAAAGCAAGGTGATGCGCTCGTAGCACCTGTCGGTACTTGGCACCTCTCATCCTGGTTCCACTCGGCTTCTCCATCAGGGCTTGTCCGTTTCTTGTTTGGTGTGGGTCCTTCGTTTTTCCCTTTTGGTTCCCTTTTTAAAATGTGATTGTTAACCTCTCTTTAAAAAGAAGAGACTAATCCTGCTGCTGCTCTCAGAAGGTTTGCTGAATGTATTTTCAATAGGACTCTTAACTCCTGTGCAATGCAGCTGTCCCCCGTGGCCTGTGACGCTTCACCAAGGTGTGGCCAGACCGTGACCGTGTAGCGGGAACGGATCGACTTGTGTTTCCTTAGTAAATAAACGGCTTGATCGGCTGAGAGACTCCCTGCTGCTGTTGTTCAAAAGGCCATTTATGAAACTTGTATTTGAGCCCCATCAAATCTTAGGAAAGCGTCTGATCGCTTAAAGGAAGGAATCAGAGTTGATATAAATTTCATGTTACAGAGTCACAGCCAAATGGCCTGTGCTCAGGTAGGAAGTCCTAGCTGAGGTTGGTCTCTTGCCAAACCCTGGCTGTCGCGTGTTGTTTTCACGTCTTCGAGTTCATCCTTTTCATTTGCACATCCTGGCATCAGTTCACCTGAGGAACCCAGCAGCCTTCTATGAGTCGTCCCCAACTTGGTGGTTCTGAAGCATTTGTCCCACGAGACTTCAGGTCTCTTCACCCTCCTCGTGCACAACCACAAGACCCGTGAAGCATAAGTGGCCTTTTTGAACCAAGACTTTGCAAACTGATCTCTCCCCAGGGAAGGAGTTGAGCACATTAGCAACAATGTACATTATTAATTTCAGATTTTCATTTTCATGTTTTATTATGTAAATATGATCTGACGTTCGGAGCTTGAGTATACAGAATGTAAATATAGTTCTTGTATTTGTACTAATTCTGGTTCTTTTGCTGTATAGCCTTAGATGTGCAATGCAGACATTATCTAACTGTGTATGGTAACCTTGCATCACGGAACTATTAGTAAACGAGGTCATATTAATAAAGGAACAACCAGTGCATCAGAAGGCTCTTGATGTGCGTTTATTATTGCACCCTTTGAAAGGTATTTATGCAAAGATTTTTCTTGACTGGGAAAGATACTGCTCTTCTGGGAAAAGCGTCACAATGCCATGACCTACATGTTCCTTTCTGAGAATTCCAAACAACAGTTATTATGAAACTACTGTGGTGGTGTTTCTTTGAAAGTACTCTCCTCCCAGGTATGGGAGTGGCTATTCTAGATGGAAGATTTGTCCCTTTTTTCAGGTATCAGTGAGTCTGTAGTGTGTGGTATGGTAGTGATTCTGTAGGTGGTGCAGTGGTTGGGATTTTCACTGTATCAGTTTAACAAGTTCCCATTGTGAGCAGAGCATGAGCAGGGGCCACTGTCCTGGGTGTGTGGGGAGGAGTGGAAGCAGGGAGTTAAAGCGACATTCAGGCGAAAAGCATCAACTGAGTTCACACGAATCCACCTGTGCCCGCGTGAGCTGGATGCTGATGACTCAGCAGCGAACCAAACAGGCCTGGTACCCGTGGCCCTCCCATTCCGGTAATGGAAGATACTTGCTACACAACTTTAAAGTGTTACAGAGCAGAGTAAAGCTGAATAAAATGTTAGAAGGGATGGGAGGGAAAGAGGCGTCCTTTTAGGTGTGTGGGCAGAGAAGGCCTCTGCGGGAGATGACATGAGAGTAGACTCGGTAAATGAATGGGTGAGCCACGCCAGGTGCATGTGCACTCAGCCATGTCCAATGCTTTGTGACCCATGGACTGTAGCCCACCAGGCTCCTCTGTCCACGGGATTCTCCAGGCAAGAATACTGGAGTGGGTTGCCATTTCCTCCTCCAGGGGATCTTCCCAACCCAGGGATTGAACCTGCATCTCCTGCATTGACAGGTGGGTTCGTTACCACTGCACCACCTGGGAAGCCTGAGCCATGCAAATCTCTGGGCACAGAGGTGGTCTCCAAGCAGGGAAAATAAGTACTTGAGGCAGCTGTGTCCTCAGAAGGTTCCAGAATAGGGAGGTGGCCCGGGTGGAGACAGGAAGTAGTCAGGCCTGGGTGGTTTCAAGGGCTTAGGTAACTAATTTCTTTAGAGTAAATAGGAACCAAGGGAGGATTTTGAGAAGATACATCCCATGATCTTATTTGTGTGTTTTGTTTGTTTAAATCTTTTAAATATTTATTTGGCTGCTCTGGTTGGGATTCTCGATCTTCGTTGCAGCATGCAGGCGAGTTCTTTCTTATGGCATGTGGGATCTAGTTCCCAGGCCAAGGATCGAACCCGGCCCCTCTGCATTGGGAGTAGGGAGTCTTAGCTACTGGACCACCAGGTAAGTCCTTTATTTATGTTCTTAAAAAGGCCATTCTGGAAAGCAGCCTGTGTGTAGAGACAGGGGTGTGTGGAGGAAGAGGGACTATGTGGGAAGTTATTATCCTAGTGTTGAGGGTTGGGGTTGGGGGATGGAGGCTTGGACTTAGAGCAGCAAATCTGGGGAGAAAGGGTCAGATTCAGGACATGTTATCCTGTTAGAACTTGGAGTTTGCTGAGTGACTGCATGTAGAGAAGGAAGGAAGGTAACTCCTGGGATGCATGCCTGAGCAAACAGGACAGACTTGCATTTCCCTGGGGTGAAGGAGGCTGGAGGAGAACGGCAGAGGGCGGTACTGAGTGGATGACTTGACTGGCCTGTTCACTCTGAGACATCAAGTGCTCCCACCTGCAAGTGTGCTTCCTGAGGCAGCTGAGTGTACTCGTTGGATTCAGGGGGAGAGGTTGGGCTGGAGACACATTTAGGAACTGTCACATGAAGGTGACAATAAAGGCAAGATGGACTTCCCTGGCAGTCCAGTGGTTAAGAATCTGCCTTGCAATGCAGGGGACAAGGATTCAGTTCCTGGTTGGGGAACTAAGATCCTACATGCCACGGGACAACTAAGCCCTGCACCGCAATAAAGAACCCACAAGCTACAACTAAGATCCGCCAAGGACAAAAATAAGTAAATCAATGAAGGTAAGAGGTGAGGACATCTGGGGAGCAAGAAGCTGGTGAGAATCGGCTCTGTGGCCTGGGGCAGTCAGGAGAGGGGATGATAGCAAAGCCCAGGAGAAGTGGTCATGAAGAGGGCATGGTATTTGGCAACCAAGTTAAGGAAGTATGTGAAGATGGAGGAAGTGATAACTGTGTCCGGTGCAGCTGACCGGTTAAAATAAGAACTGAGCAGTGACCACAGGTTTTGGCAACGAGAAGGTTTGAAGAAGTTTGAGGGACCAGTGGAATGCCATCACTGCTTCCCAGTTTCAAAGCCAACTGAGAAGGCAGAAGGGCAATCAAAATTTCTCCTTCATTACCATTAAGCTGCAATTGGAGAATGTGGCTTAGGTCTGGGGTTTAATGGATTCCCTAATCCTGAATGTCAGAATTAGAGGGTGGGCAGCAGTGTGTCTTGAGCTTTAATGTGCACTAGACTCCTCTGTGGGTTGTACTAAATGCAGATCCAGATTGAGGAGGCCTGGAGTGGGGCCTGAGACCCTGCATGTCTCATAAGCTTCCATGTCAGCTGAGAAGTTCCCTGATGGCAGCTGAGATCCCCAGAGAGAGAAAATGGCTGGCTTGGCCATGCCAGGGGCTCCTTCCAAACTCCGGCAGTTTCATTTCTCTCCTATGTGGGGCTGATGGAAACAGGAATGATCCAGTAACAGAGTCACTTCACATGGGAGGAGAAAGTGGTGCCTCTGCTCGGGCATGATCATCTGCAAGTAGAACATCCTGAGTGGTGCCAAAGAGAGTCTAGCTGGAGTAGGTGCCAGGGAAAGTGGGAGGAGGGAAGGTTGAGTGGAGTACAGTGGGGAGGGGGTCGGGGGAGACATGGGGTTATGGAGAAGTTTTTATTTTTATTCTAAAGCAAGGTGATAGGCCAGCATGTGTGTCTACTGATGGGGATGAATGAACTGGAAGGGAAACATGGGTGGTGTGAACCCCTGGATGTGGCCCGTGGGGTTGGAGCCAAGACAAGAGGGGAGGTCAGATGCAGGTCCTGTGGGGAGCAGCACGGTTTATCCTAAGAGCTAGGAGGTGATGCCAAGTTGTGGGCAGCCCCCAGACAGCTAAGTGACAGAGTTGGAGCGGGTTCGTCCTGGTCACTGGTTTTCCTTGGACTCATTGGTCAACTGTAGGCCATGTCTTCCTGTACTCCACTGTACTTTTTGCTTAAACTGCATTAGTTTTTATAAAGCGGGTTGTCCTCTGCACTTGGCCTCATCCAGGGTCTCGTGGCCACCATGGTGCTCACAAAGCTGATGGCACAGAGCATCAGGAGGGTCCGTGGAACTGTGTGTGTTCATTTAACGCATTGCTCCCACATCTGATTTTTCTTGGCATTCCACTTTCAATTTTAGAAACTTCTGGTCTCTGCACAGTCCTAAATCTTTAGCTTTTCAGAGCACATCACATGCTTATATTATTGCTTTTAGAATATATCAGTTCAGTTCAGTCACTCAGTCATGTCCGACTCTTTGCAACCCCATGAACTGAAACACGCCAGGCTTCCCTGTCCATTACCAACTCCTGGAGCTTGCTCAAACTCATGTCCATTGGATCAGTGATGCCATCCAACCATCTCATCCTCTGTTATCCCCTTCTCCTGCCTTCAATCTTTCCCAGCATCAGGGTCTTTTTCAATGAGTCAGTTCTTCACATCAGGTGGCCAAAGTATTGCAGCTTCAGCTTCAGCATCAGTCCTTCCAATGAATATTCAGGACTGATTTCCTTTAGGATTGACTGACTGAATCTCCTACCTGTCCAAGGGACTCTCAAGAGTCTTCTCCAAGAACACAATTAAGAAGCATCAATTCTTCAGCGCTCAGCTTGCTTTATGGTCCAGCTCTCACATCCATACATGGCTAATGGAAAAACCATAGCTTTGACTAGATGGACCTTTGTTGGCAAAGTAATGTCTCTGCTTTTTAAAAAATATGCTGTCTAGGTTGGTCATAGCTTTTCTTCCAAGGAGCAAGCATCTTTTAATTTCATGGCTGCAGTCACCATCTGCAGTGATTTTCAAGCCCAAGAAAATACAGTCTCTGGGTTTTTTCAAAAATCACACTTTCTTTCTACCTACTGTGTAAACAAGCCATTTGAGATCAGCTGTGGGGATTATACAGCAAGTGAGAGATGTATAATCAAATCCACTCCAACTAGTGGATTTGACTGACACACCCTCTTATGTAAGTAAGTCAAGCAAAGGATTTGACCTGGGGAGCTTTGCAGGAAAGGGTTGTTTCTGTAGAATTTCTGCTTAGACTTTGATTTGGGATTTGGGGAGTTAGGGCAAAGCAAAAAAAAAAAAAATGATAAGGTGAAAAGTGAGTTAACTTGAGCATTATAAGCCAAGAGCTTGAGGGTTTTCTAAAAACTAAAGGTCAGCCTGGAGCCGTGACCCAGTCATCCTGGATCTACCCTCTTCATCTTAGGGGAGACTTGGCTTTCTCCCAGCCCTGCTCTCTTTAAACCAGTCTGTAATAGTTTTCCAACCATATTGGGAAGCAGTATTTTTTTTTTTTTTTTTTTTTTGCTGGTTGTTAACACTTTAACAAAGACATGAGAGGCTGTGTAGCACATACCATTAATAATAGAAGAAAAACTGATTGGCAGTTTAATTCGATGTTTAACATGTTTGCCTAAAATGATGCTTCGCAGAAGTAGCTTGGGTGTGTCTAGATGTTTAGTCACATTGACTCAGCATAATTTCTCACTTGCTAAATCTCAGACTAGAGCAATCAATTTTTTTTCCTGTAGCAAAATCTGATAGTAGGTTTTCTTTGTAATGGAGTCTCACAGAAAAAGGAAATAGTTGCAAAAAGTTGAAAGTTATGAGAGGCATGAAGGCCTTCTTGAAGAAAGCAGTTACAATTGTGTTAAGTTCTGCCTTGTAAAATTATTACAAGTGCTGTTTGTTCCCCAAAAATAATCATTGAAAGTTCAATTTACCTTTCCACTTTAAGTCAACTACACGTCTCTAACA